TTTGTTTTTTCGTTTATTTTTTTAAAACCAAAAATATTATTTTCGCTAGAACTAGAAGAATCAAAATACCATGTTGTCCTCTTGACCCAATCAAATCCATTATTGTGGGTTGGAGAAAAAACAATTTTCTTAATAATATTTCAATAAAAAAGTAAAGACATTTTAGAAGTGACAAACAAAACATATTTATACGACTAACAAACAAAACATAATGGTCACATGCCAAAAAAAAAAAAACATAATGGTTATATCATTTGGTTTAGCAATCTTGTTTCGTATTTAAGATAAAAACACCAAAAACTTAGACATAAATCAAAGAAAATATAAAATCGTAATTCCAAACTTCGGTTTGAATATTCTAACAATTAAAAATTATATTCCAGTAAAATTTATCACCAAATAATAAATTTAAAATCCTTATATTACTGTTTTTTTCCTAAATGAATTTTAGCGCATCAAAATTTAATACTCCTTCTGTTTTACAAAGAGTGTCATTTTAGAGTTTTATTTTTGTTTCACAAAGAGTGTCATTCTACATTTTCAATGTAATTTTTACACTAACTTTTCTGATTTACCCTTAACCCAAAGCTACTTTTCATTGAATTTAAATCATTAATCACTTACTAAATAGGGGTATACATGTATAATTCAAGGTTTTATTAATTTGTTTGAAATGTGTCAAAGTGACACTCTTTGTGAAATGGAGGGAGTAATTGCTAAAAACAAAAGAAATCGATCAACGTTGCACACAAATCATTTAATTAGAAACCACATGCAAAACAAATTATAGATGTTTGCGTTTGGTATCAAAGCATGATATTCAGAAAAAAAATTCGAGACAACATCAAATATGATCTATGATATTCGTTTAAAATTTTAAGTGTTTCAAATCAAAAATTACAAAACAGAATCGATAATCAAGTTATAAAACGTTTTTGTTATGTTTTCTATTTATAATTTGTTGCCATAGTTCCATAGGTTTTTGTTTATTTCATTGATATATATATATATATATATATATATATATATATATATATATATATATATATTAGATTTCACTTTACATATCAAAATTTTATAGTAAACTGATATGAGGAGCAAACGCCTAAAATATGAAGAGTAGGTATTTTTGTGATTTCACTGTCTTAGTCAACTTTTGATTCTAATTTTCAAGAGTGTTTTCTATTTAACTATAAACTTTGGGTATTATATATTTCCCTTAAGTGTTTAATATTATCGAACCGTCAGAAAAATTTTGTAACAAAATTTTCAGTTAGTTAAGAGTTTTTCACAAACCTATTATCGGATAACCTATGTTGAAGTCCAAAACTTAGTAACTTGAATCAATTAGACAACCAAGATTTAAACTATGTGTCCGTCTAGAGGTTTTGTGGCACATTTGGGATAAAATGAAACATAATTTTGACGCACGTTTTCTATTTTTTTCGAAAAGTATAATTGGAACAATTTGGTTCAAATAATCTCTCTTGGCCGTATTGATGAAATTAGTTTGTTTCTCATGAGATTTGTATATCAAACACCATCTGTCAGATTTGGTAGGAACGGAACAGAGGACGCCATGTTGAAGTCTCTCTATCGGAAATATATAAGATTAATGAGCATTATTGACAAAACAGTTAGAGATAAAACTCATCTCCATCCGAGCTCAAGAATATCACAAATATGATTCTCTCCTAGTGACTATAGGTTTGGAACTCGTAGCTAAATAAATCTTCGTCTATTTCATTCATTCTTTCAAAAAACAAATTCACTCTAGTTCTTTCCAATTATCTTAATCTTTTTCAAAATAGTTACATTTGATTGTACATCGTCTTTTTTGTTGCAATATTGTTTAACATTACAAAAAAATACATGCAAACTAATTAGTTTCTAACTTTCTATTAATTATGTGCAAAAATACTTTCGATCACACATTAGTTATATCAGCTTTTTTTCAAAATCTGTTTCATAAGTTAGCTATATATAATTTATGCATATTATATACTGTACGGTCTACCGAGTCGTGACCATCGGAACCATCAATTCATTGCAAATACTATTTTGCATTTGATAGATTTCGATTTCATGGCTTGAAGTAATATTTTAATAAGAGCAAAAATATCAGTAACTTGATCATATCATGACAAAAAAAGTATTCATTTAAAAATTTAAAGGATATACTTTTACCTTAGGGTTTCATTGTTTTGACGTGACTAATTATAGTGGCATGCATGTCAACCATCAAACAAGTATAAATAAGAAGAGAGAGAGAAATAGAGACTTCGCATTTTAATGATTGTTAAGTTCGTAAACTCTTGTAACCTCGGTCTGGTTATTAATTCATGTATGCTTTTGATAGTAGATCCCTTTGATTTATTTATTCAAAGCAAATAAACTTTGGAGGTTTTAAAGATATGATCTTTACAAAAAAGCTTTCGATCCATGCATGCAGAAATACATATGATTCAATCCACTCCCTCCATGCAAATTTCGATAGATCTTCTACTTAATTAATTCCATCCTACTCTACTTTCATTTCTATATTTATTTTATAGATATATCATCAACTTTTATTTTTACTTTGAAAACACTCAAACACACACACACACACTTTTTCATGAAAAATTCTTTGTTTGATTTTTTTTTCTTTTCAAAAAAGAGTATTTGATGTTGTAAGTAGAGTTACAATACATCAATTTTTTTTTTTTTTTTGCTTTTTATAACAGGATATTCTATTATTGAAATAAATAAAATAAAATGTTAGCCAACAGCTTGTTAGAAAAAAGCTCTTCCCAAATAAATCTTAAATACCAATTAGTATTAATCCAATGTTTTCATTTAATTAATTGATTCCAATTAATGATCGACTAATCTTATTAGTACACACGTTTCATTTACGATGTAAAATAGATATTGGGGTATAGGGAAAAAAAAACATTTTGATTTCAGAATCGATCATCCAAAATTCTCTAGAAAAATAGCCAATGTATTCCAAAAATTGGGTCGTTCATCAATTAATTTCGTATCCACTTCCTACGAAATCATTTGTTTTGCGCCTTTTTAAAAAGACTTGCATGCAACTCTGTATCGTAGATTTGTAACGTGCGAGCTTGATTGTTTATGTCTTATTTTGCAGACAATGATGAACGGTTTGTGTTTTCCATATGGGATGCAATAATACCGATCGCCATGCAATGCAACTTACGTAATGTACTCAAATTATTATCAATATATGTTTATATATTTGGGGCTGAGGAAGTTCTTTTGGGATAATGATACTTTTACGTTTCTAAAAAAAAAAATTGCTTATTAATTTCAGTAGAGAAAAAAATCTATAAAGTGCACCATGCAACACAGTACACTGCCACATCTTGTATATTTTTTTTTTTTGATGAAATGTAAAACAATTTATTGATCAATTGAAAAATGCTTATTTACAAAAGAATGAGAAGTTATGAAAAAAAAATTAGAGTTAAATATCTTCCTAAAGTTGCGTATTTAATAAATTTTCTAAATATCTATAAAATATAAAATTTTACCCAATAAATAATGGATTGCTACTAAAAATGGTCATGTTGCATGAGTTCAGAAATTGATTTGCATTAATTAGACGCTTTTTTAGTTATTGCAAAATTTATATAATGATTAAAAATATGAAAATGAGTTGAATGTTGATGTGAGATCTTCCAATTACAAACTAAACGGTAGACAATGAGGGTTTAATAAATTTAATAAATAACTTAAAAAATTTATATTCATAACTTTCAATCGGAGGACAACGGGTATATTATATTTCTTAACATTTTTTTAAGTAAGAAACCTATGACCTAACAAGAGATATAGACCCTGTTTTACTTTAAATCTTATACATGATTTCGATTGTAATACAATTATGTAATTAAGAAAACTAGCTAGCATTCACGTATTATACGAACATTCATGCGCATGAATAAGGTTCAAGTGTTGAAGGCAATTTTTTTTTTTTAAAGTAATTATTCTACTTATAGCTCGTGCACATGAATTAGAGATTCGTAAATCAAATCCTTTTTAGAAAGAAAGTATGAGAAGCAATCATGCAAAACCAATAGCTTTTCGAAGTTTGAAAAAAGTATATACATCACTATATTTGTTTTATTAAAATGGAAACGAGATCTACATAGGATGCCTCCAAAATCTTCCAATTTCTTATAAGTTTGAAAACAGATACATCACTCATGGATTTGCCTTGTTGAATAAGACCGCTTATGAACTATTTGTGGTCCTAAACTAAAATTTAGCGAATCGCATTGTTCTCATTTGTGGTTTTCTTGATATTTTGTCGTATATATATTACACGCTAGCTCGGTCTACTTACCTTTCATAACATAAATTTTTTATGGTATTTAATTATGTAGCAATGTTGATTTAAAAACCTAACAACAAGAAAAAATTTCAATAGATGTTCTTCTCGATTTTCATTTACTAATTTTTCATCTGATTTCCATAAATATAGTACCACATTTACTACGTTTTAAGAAATCTACACCTTTTTTTACCATTGAGATTATTTATGAAACAATAGGGAAGTAGATTTTATGAAACATTGAACCATTGACTCTACCTATTTGAAATTGTATACATAATTAGAAATGCTAGATTCACCTAAGATTTTCTGTCCCCAAAGAAATTAAGAGAGACATGAATGAATGAATGAATGAATGAATGAACTTTTTATAAAAATAAAAAGAAAAGAAAATGGTCAATTTAATAAATTAATGAATGAATATTGCCAAAACAAACAAAATAAATTTAATGAATGAATGGGTTACACTACATAGTTTTCTTTTCACTTGGCTCTCAATTTTGCAAATACTTGTCCTTTTTCATTGCACTTGGTGACAATCTTAGTACTACAACAAAAAGATTTTGACCAGTCTTCTCAATCACACACCCACATGAAATAAAAATCAAAAATAATAATCCCCCAAAACTTAAACACACACATAACACTACACCTATCCCCACCTCAAAACAATCCCTTTCTTCTCCCCTTTCTCCAACACCTACCAAAAGCCTCTCCCTCTCTCTTTCTCTCTCTAGTTCTTGCTTTTTCAAGATTTCAAGAAAAAACATGGCTGACCAAAGTGGTGGGTTGGTTATGATGAGAGAGTATAGAAAAGGTAATTGGACGTTGAATGAGACGATGGTGCTCATTGAAGCCAAGAAGATGGATGATGAGAGGAGGATGCGGCGGTCCATCGGCTTACCACCACCGGAGCAGCAACAAGATAGCCGGAGTAGTAGTAGTAGTAGTAACAAACCGGCGGAGCTACGGTGGAAGTGGATAGAAGATTACTGTTGGAGAAAAGGTTGTATGAGAAGTCAGAATCAGTGCAATGACAAATGGGACAATCTCATGAGAGACTACAAAAAGGTAAGAGAGTACGAGAGACGAAGGGTAGAATCGTCTTTTACCGCTGCTGAGTCGTCTTCATCTTCAGCTCCAGCTGGAGAAACGGCGTCGTATTGGAAGATGGAGAAGAGTGAGAGGAAAGAGAGAAGCTTACCAAGTAATATGTTACCTCAAACATACCAAGCTTTGTTTGAAGTGGTTGAGAGTAAAACGCTGCCTTCTTCCACCGCCGCAACCGCTGTGACCGCTGCAGTTGCGGCTGCTATTAGTAGTGGAAACGGTTCAAGCGGTGGACAAATCCAAAGAGTGATACAACAAGGTTTAGGATTTGTTGTTCCTAAAGTACATCAAATCATTCAGCAACCTGTTTTATTACCACTTCAGCCACCACCGCCACCACCACCACCACCGTCTCAGCCGTCACAGCCGTTACCACGACCACTACTGCTGCCACCGCCTCCACCGCCTTCTTTTCATGCTCAGCCAATACTGCCCACAGTAGGTACCTTCTTTCTCTCTCTTCTTAACTTCTACCATTGCTCTAAGTTTTATTATTTGAGAATTAAATAATCTGACATTTAAAGACAAAACACACATTGTAATTTATGTCTATTAGTTTGATTACACTTGAAAAATAAAATCTTTAATATACAATTTAATGTATACTTTTGTTTGATACAACTTTTAATTAACCAGTGGAAAATAACAAAAAGAATAATATATACATTACATTATCTTTAATTTTTTTTTATATTAACAAGTTATTTGGTTCGGATTATGTTTAATAACTTTGTTGAAGAAGGATAGTAGTAGCTCAGATTCTGATACGAGTGAGTATTCAGACACATCTCCGGCGAAGAGAAGGAGAACAATGCCGACCACAACCGCTGGTCCTAGCGGCGGCGGTGGCCTAGAAGCGGAGGAGGTTGGACGTAGTAAGAGAGATGAAGAGACGACAGTAGCGGCTGCGTTATCAAGAAGTGTGTCAGTGATCGCAAATGCGATTAGGGAGAGTGAGGAGAGACAAGATCGGAGACATAAAGAAGTGATGAATGTACAAGAGAGGAGACTCAAGATCGAAGAATCTAATGTTGAGATGAATAGAGAAGGCATGAATGGATTAGTGGAAGCCATTAACAAGCTAGCGAGCTCTATTTTCGCTTTGGCTTCTTCTTCATCTTCTCGCCATAATAATCAGCATCAAGGAGGTCCACCGTAATAACTTAAATAAATTATTCTGTAGTTAATTAATTTGATTAATTAGGGAAGTGATTAAATCGTGGAGAGTGATGATCGGAGTACATAAATTGATACTATTGAAGTTTAATTCATGTTTTCATCACTCTTAATGTTTTTAAGTAATTTGTTGATTTCATGCAATATTAATTGAAATGTATTGATATATAGTTGATTTAATACACATGGTTAAACTGTGGATCACTTTCATATCACAATAATGCCATATGTTTCGAGATAATGAGTTTAGACTAGATTAATATGGATTCATAATATGTGGTTATGAATATTTTATGTTCCTAGCTATATATAGAATACATTACACCAAATTAATGTGCTTAGTAATATATTGTTTAATTAGGTCAAAACCATATCTTTTGTTACTTATTATGTAGATATTTTCATTACCATATGAACGTAAACTGCATTCTAGTCGATTTAGACAGTTTGAGATTATGAAAGTTCAAGAAAATGAAGCTTTAAACGGATACACGTAAATGTAATGCAAGATAAGCATTTGTGTAACAAAAAAAAAGACTTGGAAGGACGTAGTAGTCGATACTCGATAGCTAATCATGGACATAATCATGCAATTAAAGAAAGAAAGAAGCTGTGGAACTTTTGGATTGGGAGCGTGAGCGAACGCACCGGAGAGAGACGCGTAGGGAAGCATTTAAGTGAGAGAGAAAGTGGTCAAAGGGGGCAGAGAGAGCAGTCAAAGGAAGGGGAAGAGTGTGGAGGCCATTCTATTGAGTATTATTGGTTCCCCTCTCATTCTTCTCTCTCTCTTCAATACATCAAAGCTTAGTCACAAAAAAACTTTATAGTAATTTCTTTAGCTTCTAGATTTCTGAATGTTAATAAAATTTTAAGTTGGTATACTACTTAAAATAACTAAATTGTGATGAAAGTAAGAATAATGTAGTTGATAGTGAAGTTAATCTAAAATCAAGTTTTACGAGTTCTCCATGAATGTGAGTAAGTCTTGGCATACCGTTTTATAAAGAAAAAACGATTTGGTCTAGTTCGTAAACAGATAATTTGTTCTGTCCGCTACAACCATTCAAACTTTATAATAATCTTATTCTCTTAGCTTGCAAAATATACATACTAAAAAATAGTTGGTGTATGGTATATATGTGATCTCATTACACTATAATTAAACCGGTCTTTGCGGTTATCTCACTACATTTTTGCAAACTTTAAAATAATTAGATCTCAACATCTAAGAATGTGGTTAAAGAAAAGTGGAAACTAATCGATCTAAGTGGAACTTGAATAACCATGCTTCATATAGATATATAGTCAATGCAGATCCTAAAAACACACGTAAGGTCCATCTTATGAACACGATAGTTCAATATTTTATTTGTTAGTGAAAAAGGGGAAATAAAAGGAACCCATGAGGGGTCACAACAATAAATCACAATGGGCCAATTTGGGGAAGCAATATAATATACAAATGTTTATAGAAAAAAGAAGTGATGTATGTAATGTGTATAGTGTTGTACTCTATGGCCAAAAGTGCTTCTCTTTTTCTTCCCCCACACCCTTCAGATGCAGCTTTTCTACAGAGAAAGTGAGCTGTGTTGAAATAATGACCAATAATATTGAAATAAAATTAGAAAATACATTTTAGATAGAGACTGGTGCGCTATGTTAACTTATGACACACCAAATTGTACCTGAAATCAAATCTAAAAAAATCTATTCGTGTGATTATAAATAGTTTACTGTGACTGTTATACAGACAAACAATTTTAAATTATGGTTGATTTATGTGGCTAAAACATTATATTGCTTCACAAATTACGACTAAATATATCACTCTTATACATTAGATGTCTATATGGCCAAAAAAAAAACATTAGACATCTATACATTTTTTAATTCAAATAAAAAACATCTAATAGTTTTTATTAATGTTCTCATTCTATCACCATTCGGATTCAAAAACCGGTAGAATGAATAGTGTTGATATTTTTTCTTTTTGCTAATAAGGGCCTGACTGGTTTAAACGCAGCCGTTGCGGTTGCGGTTGCGAGAGTTTGCGGAAGCGGGCGGTTGCGGCTTCAAGCGTTACCAAGCGTTTTGAACGACTGGTTTAGCGTTTGAAAATGGATGCGTTTGCGGGAGTTTTATGACTGGTAAACCAGCGGGTACGGTAGCAGTTAAATAAAAACACCAATATATTATTATGATAATATTAGAAAAATTGAACATGCTTAATAATTAAAACTATAAATAAAGTACTAAATAATTATTCAAAAATAAAGAAATATTAATACAAGATTATAACTATAGGATTAATATATATTATAATAATTATAAGTAAACGTTTTTTTTTTTTTTTATAATCCAACCGCTACCGCCCGCAACCGCAAACGCTTGCGGGAAGGAGCATTTGAAATCCAGCGATTTGGAGTGGTTCGAAGCGGTATGGAGCGGTTTCTATGATTGGTACCAACCGCTAACAACCGCAACCGACCGCTAGGCGGGTGCTAGCGGGAGAATCAATCAAGCCCTAAGAAACACTATTCTTTTTGACAAAAGAAAAAAGAAACACTATTTTTTTTCTTATAGAAACAAAGGAAAATAAAGTAAACAAGACTAAATAGTAAATACACACAATCAGGCACATAGCTTTGTTTATATCCGTACGTTATCCTGTTTATTATAAAAAGAGAACTCTCAATGATGTGGACATACGAATACGCAGTTCATGTGACATTGCAGTAATTCGTATTGTGCAATTGTCTTCATTGATGGGCCGACGATAACCACAAGGTCCACAACTAGTCATATAATGGCCTTCACGAGCCGAGTTTACATGTATTCCACCAAACTCTAAGCTATGTCTATTTTATGTCTATGTATGTATGTGCAAATATGTCCATGTCTGCGACAAAATACCTCTACTTATGTTGTTGTTACTTGTTACTGAGAATATTGAACCAAAAATAGTAAACCAGTCACCAAATGTTTTTTCTTCTAGTTTTCACGCTATAGAACTTGAACACCAAATAGTTTCATCATTTGGGTAGTACTGTACCGATCTCCGGTAAAACCAAATGTAGCAGAAATTGAGTTAAAACCCTAGAGACAAAGCTATAAGAATGAAAACAGAATTACATTGTATAATGAAAAACGTAAAGAGACTTGAATTTTTGATCATTTACAGAGTCAGAGGATCGTATCATTAATCATTTTTGCTTTTTTTGTTTTTCTTTCTCCATCAGACAAAAACTACTTACACTAGAGAGACAGATATATGTCAGAGGGATGAAGAAGAAGAAGATGAACTGATGAAACACAAGTGAGGAAGACTCACCAATCTCAACATTCACATCTCTTTGCTAATGTTTTCTTCACCCCTCTCACAATCTTGCCAAACCATATCAAGTTCATGACACCGAGCGCAGCTGGTACGCCGAATACCAGAACGTAACCGAAGATGTGCATCCTCATGACCTACCACAAAACAAAGTAATTCCATTCCAGTCACACCACAAAAAAAAAATCCGGAAATGAAAGCATTGTGATGTATCAAGTTCATGGGGAAGGTTTTGAAGCAATCGGGTATCAACATAATCAATAAAACCGCTAGATAGTGAAGAGAATTACGAGGAGGGGATTATGAGTTTTTACCTGATTGTAGTGGAGATAAACATGATAAAACATGTATATGAACAGTAGAATTCTAGCAACCTGACATGAAAGTGTTTGATTGATAAGTAGTCATATTAATCCTAGCATCAAAATGAATCGAATGTTGATTAGGATTTTAAGTACCAGCCAAGCCAAGAAGATGAAAACGCCATTAACAACGTATGCCAATGACTTCTTCATACCAGCCGTGTCCAGGTACCTTCATAAGACCCCCGAGACAATCCGCTTTTTTTGTCAGAAGAAAGATTGCTAATGTGATAAGTGTTGTGTGGTATACGAAGAAAAGAGGAAGTACCATCTCAAGTTGATCTCTGGGGTTGTTATCTCGGAGATGAGGACCATGTAGGTATATAACTGTCCTTCCCCAGAAAACAAAGAGTAGGCGACTGCCACTCCTGATAGCGAGTGATGCACAATCTGAAATCAAAATGTCAACTCAATCTTAGTTTTGGCGTTAGCTATCTGTACACATTGATACTATTGAGCAATGTAGCGAGGCAAGTATATAAACCAAAACTGAAACATCAACATGCCGAATATTATTAGGGAGGATTTTGCATATCTTTGGAGAAATCAGTAGATAGAGCAAAGTGTTTGGTCAAGAAAAGTTACTTACATACTCAATTCCGCCCAAAGAAGGATATTTCCAGAAGATCATCCCAAGATCCGCAAGGAAATAACCAATAGATATCTGCAATCATTAATGTAATAATGTTGAAAATTCTTCTCTCATAGACTCTACATTAGCTTTTGGATTAACTAAAATGAGCGCTTACCCCTAAACCAAGAGAAGAAAGCCGTGAGCTCCGGAAAACAACAAGGTCATTATGCCACCTATCGGAAAAGAGGTCTGACCAGAATACAAAGTACAGGGACAAAGCCGAGATAAAAATAGCGTGAACTGTTGAGATACCACTGCCAAACAAGACGAAAACAATTTAAAAACCTAAATAGACACACACACACACAACACGTAAAGAGTCAACAATCATCAACACAAACCGGTTATTCCATTCGATTCTTTGAATTTTAGTGAGGATGATATAAGTCTTAGAATGTGAGTTGCTGATAAAGTGACAAAGATCATAAACCTACAAAAAACCAAGAAACATTCCATCATTAATCAATCGCCGCTATAGAATGAAAGTAACAAAAAAAAAAACTGAACTTACCACTTTGCAAAGGAAAATGCCGGTGAGGACAGAAGTGTAAGGAATAAAAGGATCAGCTAAGAGATAGTTCTTAACCAAATGCTGAGCTTGATGATGATAAGACTTAATAGCACCAATCGTTTGCAAAGACGTCGTCGACATTGCAGACATAATACAAATTTTGCTGCTCTTTAAACTCTTATCTATCGGTTCTCATTTCATCATTCTACCACCTACACCAAAAACCCATATCAACAAAGTGATCAATCTCGAAACTTGTTATACATAAACTAATCATAATCAACCCAAATCCAGAATTTGTTGAAATTTCTCAATCTCAATAGATTCAAAGTAATCTGAGTTATGTGAATTAGAGAGATGACAAACAAATTCCACAAACGAAACCCTAATCTCAAAAATTTCGAAACTAACAAAATGCAGATTCGATAGATATAGGCAAGCAAGGCAATACCTAGATTGGGGAAGATCTTAAACAAAGAGTGAAATTAGCGAGACCAATAGAGAGATAACGAAACTTGGATTCAAAATCGAAGTCAAAGAGGATCCATTGAACCGATGAAGAATCGGAAAAAAAAAAAACGCAAAGAAAGAAGAAGGGTACCTTGGGAAGAATCTGAATTGAAGAAATGTACGCAAAGGGAGGAGAAAACTGATAGAGAGAGAGTGAGAGAAAAGCAGAGGAAGGGTGAATCGGAAGTAGCAACAATTGAAGATGAAGAAAGCTTTAGCTTTAATCAAATGTGAAACGATAGAGAAGAAATACAAAACACTCGATCTCTGGAAAAACAAAATTATAAAAAAAAACTCCAGCTGTTGCACGAAAAAAGAAAAAAACAAATAACAAGAAATTTTTTTTTGTTAAAATTTAAATTTTAAAGGCTAGAAATTAGGTTTTAAATTCATAGGTTTCATGTGTAAAAAATAAATAAATAAATAAATAACGTATAAATATATGCATAACTTATGTTAATGAGTGGGGTAAAAAAATATAGTATTTATTTGATTAAAAGAAAAAAAAATATACGTTTTTTTATTAATATTTTGGCTAACAAATGAATGAATATATATATGAAAATAACATGAACCAGATGATAACACAAAAAGATGATAAAGCGTGAAAAAATAAAGAGTATATAGATTATTATAGTTTGATTCGTGTGAATCACTTCGACTATCATGTCTTTTTCATTTGGTTTGGTGGTATCATTTCTCTAAAATCATTTTTGTACATTTTGCTTCTTCTTTTTTTTGTTGCTAATTTTATATACACGAAAATAGGAAAAAAAATGTTTGTGACACTCTTATAATTTTCAAGAAAAACATATAAGGAATCTACCATTAATAAAATTCTAAATGAGAAGATACATTTGATGAAATATAAGACTCGAGAGTCAATGTAGTAAATAAGATTCTGCAAGCAACAAAACAACCAATCAATAAGAATATACATGTAACATTGAAATCGTGCAAAATCCACCTTCAATGATTGGTTTAGCTATGGTTCATGAACCCAAAGAAATACTATCAGTAAGCTCCATAAAAAAAAAAAAAAAAAACAGAGAGCCCATAACTGATTTTATATCGAAAACAACAAGACCTCCATTATGTTTTTTTTTTTTTTTTTTTGGTATGCATATGTTGGTTTGCTTGTAATGAGTTGCATGATCATTACACATTGCCACAAATAACCACATAGCTAATGTTCCACATGAATACATGATTTAGAAAAAAGGATATTCAGACACAAGCAGAACATGTAAGAGCCAAGATAAGAGTACACTACCTCAAACTCATACTTTCATGTCCGAGATCTCAAGCTTTCACAAAACAGAAACTAAATTGCAAGATATGATAGCAAAATATGAGCTATTTATTGAATCCAAAGTCTGAAAACTATAATAAAATACCATAACATGACATAGTTTCAGCTCTAAAGAGCATTACAAATTATTTTCAACACACCAACGACCAAAGGAAAAGAAACAAACTATATCGATTAGATTCACGCACAAACATCCTTTCTAATCAGAAAAAGGAGTAAGAACTGCGTTATTGAGACATTCCTATTTAGATAATAATTATAAGATCAAACCCTTTTTTCAGACGAAGAACATAAAGTTCTCAATCTCTGTGTGAACCTTGAAGATCTCTTTGTCCTCCACTGTGAGAGAAGAGGATGAAGAGGCAACCGAAGCAGCAGAAGACGAAGACGCTCCACGCGACTGCTTAGAGTTCTTCTCCATAAAGCTTGCCTCGTAGTACAACCTTCCTCTAGAAGCAGCCTTGTCAGCATAAGAAACTGGAGGAACCAGAGCGACAGGTTTGGTGCAGCGAGTAAACGTGAAGCACACGTCAAATATGAGCTTCTGAATCTGATCCGACTTGAACCCGATTTCGTCGTAAAGAACATAGTAATGAGTTGGTTTGCTTGTCCCAATCGCTCCATGGTGACTACAGAGATAGAAATCATACTCAAATGGGTGAATGATCTTTGTATCAACGACCGTACCTGAATGCACATTCCCCTTATCACTTCCATCATTGTTTGTGGCAGGGAAGAAACGGGTTTGATGGCGTTTCTGGGCTACGATTACCGTTATCTTTGGATTGTAACCATTCTTCTCAAAAGTCAGCTTAACATCAAGCAACTCCACATTGAGAACCATATCGAACTGACCATCACTGACACCATCACGGAATATCACAATCTTGTTAGGTCGTTTCTTGGTGGCATTAGAATGAGCTTTGAAAAGCTCTAAGCAAGTTTCACCAAACCCTTGTATCTCTTCTTTACGGTGAGTCTGAGCTTTGACTCTAGCTGCGTAGCGGTTAGCTTCAGGCCAGTTAAGAGTGCCTACAACAGCAACAATGGATGGACTCATCTTGTCGTGAGCAGCGGGATGATTGACATCAGCACCAATGAACATGACCTCATCTTCTTTATTGAAGAAAGAGAAATAATTATCCACCAGCTCCACGTTCGTTCCACCAACCTTTGCGTTTATCTTGAGGCCGAGATTTGCCAAGTACTGATCACCTCCCTTCTTCGCAGAACCGATCAAGAAACACTGAGTCAATAGACCAAGTTTGGTCTCGGCTATCCATTTCAGAGTCTTGTAGCCATCGTGCTTCCAAGACATAGCACACAGAACAAAAGCTGGACGAGCCCCACCAGTCTTACGTAAAGCCTCATCAATCACGGATCGAAGCAATTCCTCAAGAGCATTGCCATTAAAAAACGTATCCATCCTTGATTTTTTGTGAACGATAGGATTCTCCAACTTCATCCCAAGTTTCGAACAACGCGCAGTGAGTTTCTTAACAAAGTTATCAGGCATCTTGTCGTTGATGTGGCTATCATACGCGGTGAAGTCAAGAACAGCCCAATGTTTGACTATTGAACCCTTTGTGACTCCCTTTTGCGTAAGGTTCCATTGATTGTTCTCTCTGAGTTTGAGTTCCTCATGGACAGGATTGCCTTTCTGACTCAACTTCAGTGTAGGAGCCTTGAGTACACGACCTTGCACCGTTGTCATGTTTGTAGCCACTTCCAGTCCAAAATTCCCAATGATATCTCCACTGTCATAAACACACATATAAAAGGATAAGACTAACAAAATTTAAAGAAGATAGAAAATAAAAGTGAAGTTCTTTGTGCACATACCCGCTAGGTCCATCACTAGACTTGATCATATTATCTATATTCCTCTGCCTTTGTTGTGGATTGACTAGAGACAACTTTTTTAACCACGGGGCTGATTTATAATTCAATTTTTCTTTTGGAAAAATCTGCCCCTCGACCAAGTCACAAAACTCCATGGGTACAAAATTTTGCCGATCTTTTTTCCCCAAATTTAGGCAAGGAATATCTCTGTGAGCAATGTCTTTTCCATACTTTTCCTTGAAATACTTAACAATGGATATTTTCGTTGGAGGCTTGTTTCCCGCATGATCAATAAGATCGAATGTGATATCTTTTGTGTTGTACTCACTCAACCCTACAATGGTGAGTTTCTGCTTGTTCTTCCGATGGTTGACAGTGACTTTCAAACCAATCAATTCCTTTTCTGCATCACGCCTCGGAAACTGATGCATATCATCAGACCAGTCAAAGTACAACTCCAGGTATTTAATGACCGACACTGCTTTGCGGAACATCAACACTGAGTAGTCCAAACACAAAGATAAACCTTGTGCCGTAGGCTTGAGAGTGTGGCGATACCCTTTCTTAGCTGCAAGGCCAAAGCCATAGTCTTCATCTGCCGAAGTAAAAAAGCTTTTACCAACAGTAATCATACGCTTTGAAGGATGTTCCTTCATCACAACATCCATTCCTTGCAACACATCACGCGGAATGAAAGAGGAACTTCCCCTTATGTAGTCTTCCAAGTCACGTAGCTTAAGCTCATTCACCTGTTTGATGGTGAATGTATAGCTTCGAGCTCTCGTCTCTTCAGTTTTAGGGAACTCCACCTTATATGAACCTGTAGACAATTCAGCTGCGCTGAAAATGTTCTTCTGACCATCATAAGCTGTCATAGCGAAGGGAAACTTATCGGGATTGTCGGTGAACACCTTCTCTTTGACCATAGGTAGCTCATATCTTGATATCTTTTTTAAAGGATTTTCTCCTTTGATATCAACATCGTAGTGCCTTATGACACTTTCACTTTCAGAAGGGAAACTCACATTGAAATGATTGACAGAGAGATTTACGCGTTGCACAAGCTTACTACCACCTCTATCAGGACGCTTCATTGGTTCTTTCTTATCAGAAGAAGATGGCTTCATTGGAGTCATAACTTGAGAACCTGTGAAGTTAAAACACAATAACTAACTTGTTAATCTCTGTAGCTCAAAAATACATAAATACGGAAGAAACGTATTCTTATTATTCTATATCTTTGTTTAATATTCTTATATTCGGAATTACGTTCTAAAATTATTGGTTTTAAATTTTTTTGGGTAATTTAAATTCTCCAAGGTGGAACATTAGTATTTCTCAAATTCATTCTTTAATTACTTGAACGTTAGAAAAATAACAGATGCTTAAAGATATGAAATAAAATAAAATCTAGAGTTATGGTGCTTACCACTAGCGGTTTGAGAAGCCACGACTGTAGACGAAGAACTAGAAGGTAAGACCGTCGAATCAGAGAAAAACTGTGGCCTACGAGCCCACGCGCCTCTAGCCACGGCTCCTGTTGCAACGGCTTGACTCACTTGAGTCTGCGACGACGATTGAGTAACCGCCTGCGGCGGAGGTTGTTGCAACTGTGTCCCATGACCACCCTGACCACCAGAACTCTGCCCACGATTTACGAAACCACCATCGCCGCCTTGATCCAAGCCACGGCCACGACCGCGTTCAGCTCCGCCGTAACCACGACCATGGTCTCCGACGCCGCCTCTTCCCACGCCTCCTGCTGCAACGGCTTGACTCACTTGAGCCTGCAAAGATGACTGAGAAACCGCCTGTGGCCGAGGTTGTTGCAACTGCGTCCCACGACCAAAGTGACTCGACGATGGTCCAGACTGACTCTGACCACGGTCTCCGACGCCGCCTCTACCCACGTCTCTTGTTGCAACGCCTTGACTCACTTGAGCCTGCGACGACGACGGAGGAACCGCCTGTGGCCGAGGTTGTTGCAACTGCGTCCCACGACCACCGTGACCAGACGATGGTCCCAACTGTCTCTGACCACGGTCTCCGACGCCGCCTCTACCCACCCCTCCGGCTGCAACGCCTTGACTCACTTGACCCTGCGAAGACGACGGAGGAACCGCCTGTGGCCGAGGTTGTTGCAATTGCGTCCCACGACCACCGTGAACCTGACCACCGGAACTCTGCCCTCGATTTACCAAACCACCATCCCTGTCTTGATCGAAGCCACGACCACGACCGCTGTAACCACGACCACGATATCCGACGCCGCCTCTACCACGGCCATCACCACGCCCTCCTCGGTAACCACCTCGCTCCATAGTATTTGATTGGATATGATCGGGAAGACTCTTGAGTGACAAAAGATTGAACTAGAATTTTTTCTTAATGAGTTTGGTTTCAAACTTGTGAATGTGAAGTATCAAATGGGAGGGCTTTATATAGAAGAACAAAACGTGTAGGAACAGAGAAGCTTAGTTCGTAAAGTTGTCGTAATCTTCCACGAAACCACCAAAAAGTAAGAAAGTACAACTGTATTAAACTTGTGTCACAATTAACATAAAACAGAGTCAGGTGCCACTGTAAAACGTGGCATTTTATTTTATTTTAAACTCTCTTCTTAATTATATTTATGTTTGCAATTTATTTAAGGAAACCATTAACAATAAAAACAAAATTCTCATGTTTACTTTCTTTCATCCACCCACGACTTGTGTCCACTATCTCTCTGTTTCACTTTCGATCAAAAACGACATTTTAATAACCCACTAGAGTCTAGAGGTGTCAAATTTAAGGTTTTTAGGCAAGTAAATAAAAATTTCATTTTCCTTTTTTTTGTTTGGATCAAGTTTTCCACTTCATAATAATAATAATAGTATAATACTGTTTAATTTTTTATAATATATTTTGATAAATAATATTATTTGTACGTGTATATTGTCTTTAGAGTTTGGTCATTGTAATAATGGTAGTTTTTAATTATGGACTTATTATATGTGTTATACATTTGATATATCATATACTGATGAGAATACACGTAATGCGTGGGTTTCCAGTTTTCTACGAAGAAAACTTTAATTGTAAGTTTTGTCTTTTTACAATTTTATGTAAAGAATCTTTTGATGTTGTATTTCCATAGGTTTTTATGTGTCTTTTTCATCTTTTGAAAAACATTTCCCTCACGCATTGTCATTTCTAGTTAAGAGATTGATGAAGTCAATTACACAAACACTCATCTCCAACAGAACGATCACTTTTACTTACTCATCTAGTCATCTGTTCTCTCATACGCATACTTTTTCGAAAAGGTAATAAAAGAAGATTGGAGATTCAATCACGTTACATAGTTTTCTTAGTTCGATTTAAAGATCTTTTGTTTTAATATTGATGATTTGATACAATTAACGTATATTTTGTGTAGAATTTTGATTAATTATTATTTGGCTTATAACTAGACAGATCAAAAATCAGGTTGCTGGATGATAGGCGTAGCTCAATTTATGAAAGTTATGTGACTTGTGCATAATATATTGATATTTATTTCACAACATTCACTAGCCAACACCGTTTTAAATTCATAACGTTCACATCGGTTTATTATTTAGCTAAATTCTAATAATGTATTAAACAAAATCGGTTACGTAAAAAAAAAAAAAATCGGTTACGTAAAACACTTGCTTGATTAGAAATTTAGAATTATTTGATACATATGCATATGAAATCCGTTTGCACATTTTTATAAATGTTGATTGTGTCAGTTTTTTGATAATCAAGTATCATTTCTTGAAAACTTGAATTTGTTATGAATTTATTTATTTATTTGTAAAATGTGTTATAAAACAATTATGTAGAACGCTAGTGTTAATTGAGACACTGGGCAGATGAAATCAATTTGGCCTGCACATGATACTTTAAAAAGTTAGATGAGTGGGGATAGGTAGAAGTAATTAATGTATTTGTCATAAAACTATTTATATAAACACCTCCATTGAGAGATTATAATCAAATTCACACAACATAAACTTATAATAAAAATAATAATTTGAGAATAGCACTAGATGCATCATGCATGGAGCTAAATTATGTTGAGTTTGACGTTAAGTCTCCGGCAGACAAATTTGTTTAAAGCTTTTCATCGAAGCATTGAAGGCGATGGTATAAACAAGAGTTTTACTATGTCAAAATTAAAATGACTTTAGTTAGGCAGTTCACTAATTAATATCATTTTAATTATGATATAGTCATAGTTATGTAAAATGATATGACTATGTCAAAACTAAAATGACTTTAATTAGTTAATATGTAGTTCGACCACTCAAACATACTAACTTAAATAAAATTATTTTTTAAATAAAAAAATGATTTCTCTAAACCGCCAAAAAGAAACAGTAATATTTTTAAAAATATATCTCTAGATTTTTCATTAAATGAAACTAAGTTGAGAAAAACACAAATATATATATAAATTTTCTCAAACACACACACCAAATATTTTGAGAGCTAGGTAGCTAGTGTTGTTTTAAACTTTTTTTTGAAGAATTCTTAGGGTTCTTGTTTTATTTGATTTCTCTTCAAGATAAATATGTTAATTTTGATGAAAAATAAAGTTATTTGTTCTTCAATAGAAAATCCTTTATATAAAAATGGGCAAGATATATGTTGAGAAATGGATGTAAAGATATATAGTGTATGCTCGTGAGTCAGAAAAGTCATGTACCGTTGGAAATAAGTGTTTGCGGTCATTAATCTTTTACCTAGAAATGACAATAAAAACATGGTTTGGTGAATCGTTCATCACAACTTTATGAGTTACCAAACGGAGGTTTTTCTTTCTTTAAAGTGAGTGTTAAGTAATTGATTGTTTTTTAGTTCTAAATATGATTATGTGGCTGATCGAGTCTGAAGTAACGAAAAAGATTTTGACTAATGAGTTTCAAATGTTGAAGTCATGTAACTAAAAAATTGTAACCTCAACTACTATAAGAGTATCCAATGCTAGAAGATCGAAGAAGCATTTCAAGAGTCTCATGATTCTTTGGATCTGCTGATTTGTGTTGTTTGGCACTCAACACTAAGCTTGTTTGTAATCTTGTTTTAAACTTTTTTTGGCAAGTTTATAGTCTTTAGGTTAAGCTCTTTTGTAAAACCTCAACTCTTCATTCCTTAATGATATTCACATCTATACTATATAAAAGTCGAGGCTATAAGCTTCTGAGGCCGTCCACGTAGGATTTTAAACGACCAATCGAGATCAGACATCTCACTAATTAACATATTTTGATTCTGATAATTTTCTATTTAAAAGTTTTAGTAAAATGGAAAAAAACAATAAGAGAAATATTTGAAAATATGAAAATATTTCTAATTATAATCTTGTGTTATTTAAAAACAAATATAAATAATCAAAATGTAAAGTTTTAATTTTTTTAAAGAATATTAAAATTATAAACGAAATATCTAAAAATATGTAACAATTCTGAATATAAATTTTGTAAAAAAAACAAGAGAAATATTTGAAAATATGGAAATATTTTAAATTATAATCTTGTGTTATATAAAAACATAATATAAATAATTAAAATGTAAAGTTTTAATTTCTTAGAGATTATTAAATTTATTTATCTTTACTATATAAAGGTCGAGGCTATAAGCTTCTGATGCCGTCCACGTGGGATTTTAAACCACCAATCGCGATTTGCCATCTCAGTTGTTAACATATTTTGATTCGAAGCCATAAACTTCTGAGACCGTCCACGTAGAATTTTAAACGACCAATCGTAGTGTGCCATCTCGCTAATTAACATTTTTTAGATTCTAATAACTGATTTTTGTAAAAATGGAAAAAAGTAACATATGAAAACAAAATAAATATATAGAAATATAGAAAATTTTCTTAATAGAAATTTTGTACAAAAATATATAATATAAAATAATCAAATGTAAAGTTTTATTTTTCTAAAATTTTATTATATTATAAACGAAAATATTCTATATATGGAAAATATTCTAAATATAAATTGTTTAGTTAATTACAATAGCATTCTGAATATAAATTTTGAATAGATTATTAAATTTATAAACAAAATATCTAAAAATATGAAACAATTCTGAATATAAATTTTGTCAAAAAAAGAGAGAAATATTTGAAAATATAGAAATATTTTAAATTATAATCTTGTGTTATATAAAAACATAATATAAATAATCAAAATCTAAAGTGTTGATTTCTTAAAGATTATTAAATTTATTTATACTATATAAAGGTCGACGCTATAAGCTTCTGATGCCGTCCACGTGGGATTTTAAACCACGAATCGCGATTTGCCATCTCATTTGTTAACATATTTTGATTTGAAGCCATAAGCTTCTGAGAGCGTCCACATAGGATTTTAAACGACCAATCGTGGTGTGCCATCTCGCTAATTAACATTTATTGATTCTAATAATTTTCTATATTAAGATTTTTGGAAAAATAAATAAAAGTAACATATGAAAATAAGATAAATATATAGAAATATAGAAAATTTTCTTAATATAAAATTTTGTACAAAAATATATAATATAAAATAATCAAATGTAAAGTTTTATTTTTCTAAAAGTTTATTATATTATAAACGAAAATATTTAATTTATGGAAAATATTATAAATATAAAATTTTTAGTTAATTACAATAGCATTCTCATTAATTTAATATCTTTATATTTCATTTATTAGATAAAATAAATATTTGTGAAAAAGGAAAGAAAAACAGTATATGAGATTTAAAACGACCAATCGCGGTTAGGCATCTCGCTAATTAATATTTTTAAAAGTCACAATAATTAATATTTTTAAATTTTAATATTTTCTATATTAAGATATTTATGAAAAGGAAAAAAAATAATAGATATGTAAAGAAGAGAAATGTAAAATGTTGAAAACAACATATGAAAATAAGAATAATGTAAAATTTATCTATTAGAATATATATAAAATAATTTCTTAGATTAAGAATATTTGTGAATGGTAGATGTGCTAATGGGAATAGAGAATGACACAAAGACAATGAGTTCTTGCAAAAAGATAGAAAGAGTGATAGCTCTCAAAACAAAATTGAGAAGACGGAAATTCATACTCATATTGAAAAGAATGAGAGAAAAATATGAGTTGTTAAAAAGAAAGTATATATAAGCTTATAAGTATATTTGTTTTTATAAAATCTTATTTTTAAAAGAACTATACTAACTAATGCAGTGAAGATAGACAAAAAAAAAAGTGAATTTGCGCATACCAAAATGAGAAAGTCATCGAACTATCTCTCCTTACAATTTGTTTCATGAGATTCAGCCAAAACGTCGTACATGAAAATACTCAGTCATCCAAATTATCTAAAGATAAAGAGAGAGCTATTAAACAAAAATATGTTTTTTTAATAAATAAAGTAAAAACCTAAAAATTGTATTAGAGTTTTTTTAAATTGTGTATTTAAATTGAACTATTTTCCATGGTAATTTTGAAATTCAAAGAATTTAAACTATTAACAATATGGATAAATATAAAAACATATATTTCAAAATTTTAATAATTATTTCTATTTACACAAAAATTTACTAAAAGTATTAAATATAGACCCACGCGTAGCGTGGGTTTAGAACCTAGTTTCTATATAAAAAAGAGAGTATCCAATGTATATATAGCACCATTTCATACAATACAAATAACAAAACAATAAATTAACTATTTTTAATCATTTTAATTGTATCTGATTGACTCTAAGACGAAACATGCATTTCAGTTCTCTAAAAAAAATATATCATTACTGTATTTTATTTTCTTTTGTTTGTGAACCCTTATAAAACTTAAAAACTCTTACTACATTATAATCTTGTGGTATTTGAGAATTTTTAAAGTTTTTTTTCGTAGTTTTGGACTCGAACAATGTAAATTGGATGTTTAGGGAATTTCTCTAAAACAACCATACTTTGATCATTCAAACATATTAAAATTGGATGGGAATTTCTCTTATTTTTCCATTTTTTTCGGACACAAATAAACTTCATTGATTAAACTGGGATACATGACTAGGTTTATTAGCCTCAACAAATAGTTGTAACCATCTTGGTACTAAAGTGCAAAATCTTGGAACAAAAGAGCTTAAGAGAGATCGAGAACTTTGCTACTTTTTTCGGTTGTGGCATTACTTGATTGAGCTGGAAGGTGAATATGGTCATGTAAAAGTTCTTACTTAGGCCTGCTATGTCTTGATAGAATAGTTCGAGAGCAAGCTAAGTCTTTTGAGTTAGAACAGCTTATATAACATCTTTAGACATTAGCATCTGATTCAAAGATGACATGCTTGAGTAATGAGTCTTGTTAAGGTTCAGAGGCTCAAAAACTGCGACTTAATGAGCTTAAAAGTTAAACTCAAGACAATCCAAGAATCAAGGTCGAAGATAGTTTTAGACAAAAAAAACTGAATGTAACTCAGGAAGTAGAACAAGAAACAGAGCAAATAATGAAAATATGAGAGTTTGAGAGATAGTTAACAAGTTCAATTGTTCAATGGTCAACTGACTCCACCTACATCTAGCGGAAATCTTAATGGGCCTAAAGTAAGCTTGGGCGCTTAATAAGCCCCTCCACACTGTAAGAAAAACGTTATTAGTTTTGCCAACAAATGAATTTACTTTTAATAATGTTTGTATCATATGAAAACAGCAAGAACCAGAGGATAACACAGAAAAGCTGATAAAAATCATAGTAAAAGGTTTTATCATAGTTCAATTCGTGTGAATTACTTCGACTACCATGTCTTTTTTTTCATTTGGTTTGATATTTCACTTCTCTCAAGACATTCTGTACACTTTTTTTTAGTCCCAAAATATATATGTGGGATATATATAGGTATGACGAATTTATCAATACATAAAAGCCTACGAGAAAACGATACTTAGTAAAAAAAATAGTTACAATTTGATAAAATTGGGGGACTCGACTCTCGAGAGTAAGTGGTGATGAGATTCTGCAAGCAACATAAATCTTTATAAAACGATTGGGAATATTAAAAAAAAAGTTTCAGATCAGGTCTTAAGTTCAGAGATTAGTAAATTACAGATTATGTTTTGTATTGTATACAGAGTTTCATCATACTTCAGTAGCAACCGGACATGATCATGATCAATGCAATTACTAAATTTCAGACACAAACTGAACATGTAAAAGGCAAGACAAGAATATATTCCTGTTACTGGTTTTCTCATCTCTGAGATCTTAAGCATTTTAACAAAACTCAGAAACAAATTTGCAAAACGCTAGCAAAATATGAAATCATTACTGAATCTTACATACAATAATACCAAACGAAAAGACGTAGTTTCTGCTCTGAAGAGCATTACAATACCAAATACCAAATACCAAATACCAAATACCAAATACAAATTCGTTACAAGTTTCAACACACCAACCAAAAAGAAAGAAACACACTACGAAAAACCCAATTAGATTCACGCACAAACTCCTTTCTACCAGAAAAAGGAGTTAAAACTGCGTTATTGGGGCGTTCCGATTTCGAATATAGTTTTTAAGTTCAGCTTGAGACCCAAAACACAAAAAACTCACTCTCTTCTTCAGACGAAGAACATAATGTTCTCAAGCTCTGCATGCAGCTTGAATATCGCTTTGTCCTCCATTGTAAGTGAAGATAATGAAGAGGCAAGCGAAGCAGCTGAGGTAGACGCTCCCCGCGGCTGCCTAAAGTTCTTCTCTCGAGAGCTTGCCTCGTGGTACATCCTTCCTCTAAAGGCAACCATGTCAGCATAATACACTGGAGGAACAAGAGAGACAGGTTTGGTGCAGCGAGTGAAAGTGAAGCACATCTCGAAGATGAGCTTCTGAACCTGATCTGAAGTGAATCCAAGTTCGTCCCAAAGAGTGTAGTAATGAGTTGGTTTGCTTGTCCCGATCCCTCCGTGGTGACTGCAGAGGTAGAAATCATACTCATACGGGTGAATGACTTTAGTATCAACGACCGTACCTGAAGGCACATTGCCTTTATCACTTCCATCATTGCTTGTGGCAGGGAAGAAACGGGTTTGATGACGTTTCTGGGCTACGATTACCGTTATCTTTGGATTGTAACCATTCTTCTCAAAAGTCAGCTTAACATCAAGCAACTCCACATTGAGAACCATATCAAACTGAGCATCGCTGACACCATCACGGAATATCACAATCTTGTCAGGCCGTTTCCCAGTGGCCTGAACATGAGCTTTGACAAGCTCCAAGCAAGCATCGCCAAATCCTTGTATCTCCTCTTTACGGTGAGGCTGGGCAATAACTCTAGCTGCGTAGCGGTTAGCTTCAGGCCAGTTAAGAGTTCCCACAACAGCAACAATGGACGGGCTCATCTTGTCCCGAGCAGCGGGATGATTGACATCAGCACCAATGAACATGACCTCGTCCTCTTTTTTGAAGAAAGAGAAAGTATCCATAAGCTCGACATTGCTTCCACCAACCTTTGCGTTCATCTTGAGGGCGAGATTTGCCAGGTACTGATCAGAAACGGTACCATCTCTTCTAATGGCAGAAATGGTCAAGAAACACTGAGTTACCAGACCAAGTTTGGTCTCGGCAACCCATTTCAGAGTCTTGTAGCCATCGTCCTTCCGAGACATAGCACACAGAACAAGAGTTGGACGAGCCCCACCATGCTTACGAAAAGCCTCATCTATCACAGATCGAAGCAATTCCTCAAGAGCATTACCATTAGAAAGCGTTTCCATTCTCGATGTTTTGTAAACGATAGGAGCCTCCATCTGCATCCCAAGTCTCCGACAACGTTCCATGAGGTTATCCACAAAGACATTAGGCATCTTGTTATATCTCTCGGATGCGGTGAAGTCAAGTACAGCCCAATGCTTGACTATAGATCCCCTTGTGACTCCCTTCTTCATAAGGTTCCATTGGTTGTTCTGTCTCGGGTTGGGTTCCTCGCGCACAGCTCTCCCTCTCTCTGCCAACTTCAATGTTGGAGCCTTGAGTACACGACCTTCCACAGGTGTCATATTTGTATCAACTTTCAGTCCGAAGTTTCCAATGATTTCTCCACTGTCATATACCCAAATACAAAAGGATAAGTCTTGTACACAAGCTCTACGTTCATAAAATGTCAAAAAAGAGAGAAAATAAAAGTGAAGTTCTTCGGACACATACCCGCTCGGTCCATTACGAGACTTTATCATCTTATCTATATTCCTCTGCCTTTGTTGTGGATTGACTAGTGACAACCTTTTTAACCACAAAGCTGAATCTTTATCTTTATCCAAGTCATCCTTTGGATAAATCTGTCCCTCAACCAAGTCGCAGAACTCCATGGGGACAAAATTTTGCCTACCGTTTTTCCCCAAATCCAAGCAAGGAATATCTTTGTGAACAATGTCTCTTCCATACTTTATCCTGAAATACTCAACAATGGACGTTTTCCTTGGTGGCTCGTTTCCCTCTTGATCAATAAGATCGAATTTGATGTCTTTTGTGTCTTGCATACTCAGCCCTACAATTGTGAGTTTCTGCTTGTTCTTCCGATGATTGACAGTGACTTTCAAACCAGTCAGTTCCTCTTCCACAACACGCCTCCTAAACTGACGCATATCGGACCAGTTAAAGTACAACTTCAGGTATTCAATGACCGACATCGCTTTGCGGAACGCCAACACCGAGTAGTCCAAACACAAAGACAAACCTTGTGCTGTGGGCTTCAGAGTGTGGCGATACCCTTTCGCAGCTACAATCCCGAAGCCAGAGTCTTCATCTCGCTCAGTTTCACGAGTGAAAAAGCTTTTACCAACAGTGATCATACACTTTGAAGGATGCTCCTTCATCACAACATCCATTCCTTGCAACACATCACGTGGATTGCAAGACGAACTCCCTGTCATGTACTCTTTCAAGTCGCGTAGCTTAAGCTCATTCACCTGTTTGATGGTGAATGTATAGCTTCGACCTCTCATCTCTTCAGTTTTGGGGAACTCCACCTTATATGACCCCGTAGGCAATTCAGCCGCACTGAAAATGTTCTTCTGACCATCATAAGCTGTCATAGCCAAGGGAAACTCATCAGGATTATCAGTGAACACCTTGTCCCTAACCATAGCTAGCTCAAACCTCGAAATCTTCTTCGTAGGATTTTCTCCTTTGATTTCAACATCATAATGTCTTATGACACTTTCAGGATCGAAATTCACTCTAAAATGATTCACATAGAGGTTAACCCGCCGCACAGCCACAACACCGCCTCTATCAGGTCGCTTCATTGGTTCTTTCCTATCAGAAGACACAACTTGCACCGATGGCCTCGGATTCATAACTTCAGCTACTGTCAATTTCAAAAATGCAATTAAGTTTGAGCTAAACAAAAAAATCACATAACACATTCCCAAAAGGTTTTGATTAAGTCACATAAATCTGTCTAATGATTTCATAATTAAGTTCTAATCATTTATTGTAATCTTCTACTATGAATTTGCCCTAATCTCAATTCCCAAAGAATTCTTAAACAAAACAAAAATTGAGCATTTACCACGAACGGGTTCAGAAACCACGACGGCGGTGGACGGAGAAGCTGAATCAGAAGAAACCTGTGACCTACGACCCCATGCGCCTCTACCAGCGACTCCTCCTACTGAACCGGCATAACTCACCGGAGCCTGCGACGGCTGCGGAACCACCTGTGGTCGAGGTTGTTGCGACTGCGTCCCACGACCACCGTTACCAGGCGGAGGTCCCCACTGACTCTGGCTACGAAAATCCTGTTGTTCACCACGTCCTTGACCACGATTTCCACCGCCACGCTCTGAGCCACGACCACGACCTTGTTCTCCTCCTCCGCCGCCATAGCCACGACCACGACCTTGTTCTCCTCCTCCTCCTCTGCCGCCGCCGCCTCTACCACGGCCATCACCACGACCACCTCGATAACCACCTCTCTCCATTGGATCTGATCGGGAAGGGAAACACTGAGTGTAAATAAGCTTGAACTAAACCAATCCGAGGTTTTTAAAAGAAAGAATAAAATGTGTCAGAGAAGCTATTTTAAAAAAGAAAAAAAAAGAAAAAGAGAAAGCTTAGCCCATAAGTTTATAAAAAAACGTTCTCGAATCTTCGTTCCTTGAAACCACCGTAAAGTAAGGAAGTAGAATCGTTTTTTAACTTTTATCCAAGGCAAAATACGTACTTGAGGGTAAAAAAAGTAAAAACACTTCCAAATATGTACATTAAACTTTTTTTTTTAACTGTCGTCAATTTTATTATTTTGTAATTTATTTAAATCATTAAAAAAAAACCAAAGTCTCATTCTCATGTTTATCTTTTTTTTTTGTTTTTCATCAGTCTCATTCTTATGTTTATCTTGAACCACGATTTTTTCTTGTGACCACGATCTTTCTGTTTCACGTTCAATCATAAGTTAACCACTACTAGGGAGTAGGTGTAAGAAATTCTTTAATTGTGGGAATTTATTTTGTCTTTAAAGTTTGTTATTAGTTGCTGTAATGGTAGTTTTAGATTTTAATTACAGATTTATTATAAATGTTCTACATTAATTATCTATACATATATCTGTCCTATGAGTATCCCATAAATGTTTCTTGATAAAAAAAAACTTTAATCGTATAATTTTTCCTTTTTACTATTTTATTATTTTTGAATATTTCTTCATTATTTTAAGGATATTTTAATGTTAAATTTCCATTAATTGTTTTCTATGTTTTATTTCATCTTTTGAAAATCTTCTTTGGACGTAGGTATTGGTTTCTTTTTATTTGCGTTAAGATCATATTATTATGTTCCTGTAAATGACCCAAATTGACCTCTATTGAAATCACACATTGTATTTTTTTTTTTATCTTAAAAGTTATTATTTAAGATTTAATTTTAAAAAATTCAACTAAAGATATACTAAAAGATTATAGAATATAAATGGTCACATTTTCTTAAGATTAGTTACATTTATTTCTATGTTGGAGTTGTTGAGAAAATTAATGTAGTTGTCGTCGATCATAATGTATTCTTTAGATGATTAGTTTAGCGTTTGAACCTATGTTATTATCTGGTTAAATTAAAGAATGTGATTTACCACTTGGGCCATTTGTTCGATTAAAGAATGTGATTAGAACTTGGGCCGTAGGTTAAAACTTTCCTCAGCCCATGTGTGTGGATAATTAACAAACTAGTATCGTACGGGTTGCCAAAAAAACATATACGTACTTGACTTAAAGACTCATAAACTTTAAGTTTATAAATAACAACTAGCAAAGTAACAATATTAAGCTTATAAGATTAAATATTAGTTAATTCCATATGCACGTACTTGACTTAAAGACTCATAAACTTTGGTTAAACTATCACAATTTCATCTCTCAATCAAAAAATAAAGTTGGAGAATCATTTTCATAATTGTGCCTTTTCAAACAACGCAAAGTTATATCGTTTTTCTTTTTTTTAATTTCCAAGTTTGCTAGTTGTAATGTATTTTTATTTTATCTCATCTTCTAGATAGTCATAAGGACGATCGACAATATCTCATCTTATCACCCTATAATTCCATTGACTTTTAACGACTCATCCGGCATAATTGGATATTGAGATATCTAATAGTTTAAATTTATTCTTCAAATAAGTTTTTTAATTTATTGACTCAAACGACCAAAAGGCCAAACTCCAATATAAGTAAGGCATATTTTTATGTAATGTACTTTTGTAAAGCTAATAGTATTAAAATTTTATGCAAAGCCACTTGACCTAACCAATCATAACATATTTCGAATATATCACATTAAAATTTTTGAGATCTTCGTTGCAATTTTCCGATGAATTCATATAAGCTTTAACAACGAATGAGGTTAATTTGGAAGATTGATTGTTTATTAACGGTGGTTGCACGATTTCGAAATCACCACGACTAATAACGTTTACTAAAACGATGTCGTATTCTAAGTGATGTAATTATAAGTAAAGTCAGCGAAGTACATTCGTACGAATCATATGTCAACAACGGGCTTCTGATCCCGAAGGTCGTATTATTCATCAGTCACACATTACGATAATTGTATGTTGTTGTTCGAATCCTTTAAAAAAAAACATAGTATTGTTTTGTTGGTTAAACAAAATTCACAAGTCTTAAGTGCATGGTCTCAGTAAAGCTCAAAACCTCTAATCGATCCTTCACATCAAACCGAGCTCAAAACCTCTAATCGATCCTTCAAGAACTGGAATCAAATATATTTAAACCAGAAAACCATTTCTTATAACGGCGATCATTTTTTATATAGCTTGTTAGTTCAATGTCTTTGTAAGACAATCACATCAATGTTCATTTGTTGAAGCATTCCTCATCCTCATCCACATGGATTAGCAACTTAAAAAAGTTAGAAGTCAACTTATATATGGTTTATACAAAAAAAAATACAATAATTGTTGTCATGTACTTAAAAACGTACACAACGTACATGTATATGGACTGTGGAGTGTGGCTTATCCTCATGTATATTATCTAGCTAGTACAATAATTAAAAAGAAAACGCATATAACATTATATCACTCTTCATATGAAAAATGTCTAAAGCGGCATGATTAAAGATTCAGAAACTACTTTATCAAAATAAAATAAAAAAGTTATCTCAAAAATATTAGTATAGATTACAACAAAATTGCTTAAAAACCCCAAATCTTTTTAAAAATGATGTAATACCTCAATTTTTGTACATATGATGTGGAATATGTAAGTAACACAGATAACAAATTAAATACGCTGATGATATTTGTATAACGTGGGTAACATGATGTAGATAAAGTTTTCCAACATGTAATAATAATACATAGTTTTGAACAAGTGTCAAGAAAATTGACTTATACCTCCATATCTATACAATAATTGAGAGAGAACACTCAATTACAGTTCATTTTATACAATCCTACAAATTTGATGGTTATATGTTTTTATATACATGAAATTGTATATATGTCTTATTTCTCTCTATATATATCTTTATCTTTAACTAAGAACTACTATCAGTCTTATCATGATTTATTTTATTTTGCAAGTGAGAATCTATCCACGTAATTTTTATGTGTGCGCCTAGAATTAGTTTAGACTTTGTTGAATATTTCAATATTTTCTAAACAAACATGTTGACAATTGATTAATTAGTAATGTCGACACTTACTTTGATTGAGGTACCGAGGCTTCAAGTCTTGTCTTATAAGAAGATAAGACAAAATGTACTTTGCATCAAACTCAAAAAACCCCACAAGAAACAAATAGAAAGATGACTAAATCTCATGTCATTTTCTCTGCCTCCATCGCTCTCTTTCTCCTCCTCTCCATCTCGCATTTCCCGGGAGCTCTCTCTCAATCTGTCAAAGTTTGCAAGTCCAAATCCAACAACACATGTATAGACAAAGACAAAGCATTAGATCTCAAACTCATAGCAATCTTCTCAATCCTCATCACTAGTCTAATCGGTGTTTGCCTCCCGTTCTTTGCCCGATCAGTTCCCGCTTTCCAACCCGAGAAATCTCACTTCCTCATCTTAAAATCTTTCGCCTCCGGAATCATCCTTTCCACTGGTTTCATGCATGTCTTGCCTGATTCTTTCGACATGCTTTCATCTCCTTGTCTTAACGATAACCCCTGGCACAAGTTTCCTTTCACAGGATTTGTTGCCATGATCTCGGCCGTGTTCACACTCATGGTTGACTCTATCACCACTAGCGTCTTCACCAAGTCAGGCAGGAGAGATCTAAGTGCTGATGTAGCATCCGTTGAGACTCCTGACCAAGAGATAGGGCACGTGCAGGTTCATGGCCATGGTCATAGCCATGCTCTTCATCATAATCTTCAAGGAGAGAATGATAAGGAGCTTGGTTCTTATTTACAGCTTCTGCGGTATCGTGTTATTGCAATCGTTAGTACTCCTTCACTCTCGTCGTTTTTTCTTTAAAAAAATTAAATTAAATAATAAACTCTTAACTTGATTTTGATAAAAAAAAGTTCTAACACTAGGGAAACATATTGTGTTTAAACTGAAATTGTTATAACTTGGTTCGTTTATAGGAAAAATTAGTCAACGACGATATATTTCTACATGTGAATGAAAATGATTATTCACATACTAAAGCTTTAATATGTTATTTTCGAATTGTAGGTTGAAGTGTACGTAAAAATTTGTTTTTATCCTAAGTATTTTATGTTAATTACACTAATTAATTTTGATCAATAAGTGAGCAACTGAAATGAATAAAAATGGAACAGGTATTGGAGCTAGGAATAGTGGTGCACTCGATAGTGATAGGACTATCCGTAGGAGCCACTAACAATACTTGCACCATCAAAGGACTAGTCGCTGCGCTTTGCTTCCACCAAATGTTCGAAGGCATGGGTCTCGGCGGTTGCATCCTTCAGGTGAATTCCTCCTTTCCAATTTATTAGTTCGGTCCGAGTTTGATTTCTTCAAAAGCGTTGTGCTTTTGAATGATATGAAAACCTATGATGAGAACTTGATAATACATGTAGGCGGAGTATGGGTGGGTTAAAAAGGCGGTGATGGCTTTCTTTTTTGCGGTGACAACGCCTTTTGGAGTGGCTCTAGGGATGGCATTATCTAAAACATACAAAGAGAATAGCCCTGATTCACTTATAACAGTTGGATTGCTCAACGCTTCCTCGGCTGGACTACTCATCTACATGGCTTTAGTCGATCTTCTAGCTGCCGATTTTATGGGTCAAAAAATGCAGAAGAGCATCAAGCTTCAATTAAAGTCATATGCTGCCGTTTTGCTTGGTGCTGGTGGCATGTCCGTCATGGCCAAGTGGGCTTGATGATGTTTAAGTTAAGAGTGGAGCTTAAATAATGTGCACATATCTTGTGTAATAGCTAATAAATGTAAATAAAACTGTGTTGTCTAAATAATGCGAATGCGTAGTTGAATTTGGATAGTGAATAAACAATGATACTAATTTATTCCACAATATTACATGTTAAAAATTAACCAAGCAAAAAGCCATTTTCATAAGCTCTTAGTAAATTACGTATGTTTAATTTGACATTTATTGAATGCAAAGTTATAAACAGAATCAAGACCTAAATGAATCCAGGATGTTAGAAAAAAATGAACTTCATGTAAATTACCAATATTTAATATATCGCTAGATGGTATCTAATCGTTCTATAAAAATCTAGCATATATATACGCAGTATAAATCATCAACATACAATACTAATTTAATTTGTTCTGGTCAAATGTCAATGCAACTGATATAACATATCGTAGGCGTTAGATATTTTAGAATCAAATAGACGTGAACCACCGATGTAAACGAATATGCTTGTATATATATTGTCGTATGTTCTATATGTTTGTGTAATTAATGAAAATAATAGAAATTATTAGACACACATATCTCATCTGATCCAAGCTTAAATTATGCATAAAATGATTATGATGTAAAGGAGATATGGTTTAAGTAAATTTTAGATATGAGTTATAGCTGAAGAGAGAAAGTGTGTTTATATATAAACAAAATCTAATATTTAAAGTATATTATATATATATATATATATATATATATATATATATATATATATATTTGTTTGCCTTCTTAACATGATTAAATCAAGTGTAGTTTTAACAAAGTAAATAAAAAACTTGATTTTAGAATATAATACAAGGTAAAGTGGTAAATCACAGTTTTAAAAACTGTAGATTTATTATATAATACTTTTCTTTGTGGAAGATAGACTCCATATCATAAGACTCATAACTGAAAATAAAGTCTTCTCTATATTAGACAAAATGAAGTTATAAATGGAAAACAAAATCTATTCTATATTGAAAAATATAATATTTAAAATATAAAATATAATATTTAAAGTATATTTTCAAATAAATTAAATATAAAAAATTCTTAAATAAATTATTGCCCAATCGGATAATATAGCTGTGATTTTATTATAGTAATTGTATTTTAAAAATCTGTGAATTTATAATGGTAATTGTATTTGTGAAAATAGACTATGTATCTTGGATCATTGAATGAGTGTCATATTTAAAAATAAAAAAATCTAGATATATACAAAGCTTGAAATTTATAGTACATAAGAAGTGAATTTTTTTGTTTTTCCATCCCATATATAAATGGACTCAAGACAAGCTAGTTCTCTCACAAACCAAACTCATCAAGCATCCAAATACAAACATTGTTTAGCTATGACCAACCTTTACTTTAGGATCGCTTTTCTTCTCTCCCTCTTGTTGTCCTTCTCTCGTAAGTAAATGCGAATTTTCATTGGTAATTCATAAATAGGTGAAAGCGGTTCCAAGATTTTGCATAATTTAACCAATTATGTTTAGCAGTTTGTGATCAATTATGTCGGTTCTAAGTTAAATTCAAGCGATTTTTCACTTAAATTTATGTTTCTATTAAATTCATGATTTTTTTTGGATTCTTCTATATATGTCACGAATATTATCAGTTGTATACTAATTTGACATTTTTGTTTTTTTTTTCTAAATTAAAGATCAAAGCATAATAATCGAGGCTAGAGAAGGCAAAGAATGTGTAGGCAAATGTTATAGATCCCTTACTCGTTCTCCTTCGATGATAGATTCAGAAGAAGGAGCCAACAAAGAATGCATAGACCATAATGGACTTAGTAGCAAATGTTCTCCTAATACTTCCCCTTCAGTGATTGATTCAGAAGAAGAAGTAGTTTTCAACGAAGAATATATGGATGGTACTAAAGAACATAAAAGAAAATGTCATTGCAAATGTCGTAAACATAAATCTCCAACTCATTCACCTTCAATGATAGATTCAGAAGCAGGTGTCAACAAAAAACATAAAAAAAAATGTCATTGCAAATGTCATAAAGCTAAAGCTCCTAAATAAATATTATATTTAAAATAGATGTAACTCTTAAATATATTTTCTTCATATAATTAATATAAATAAAATGATATATTCTCTATTTTTGTTTGATAGTGATGGAATCAATTTCCAAATGAAAATTCTTAATCTTATAACATTAAATCTTTCAAATTTTTCGAAGTGTATGAACGATCTCTAGAAAAGAATGTGGGATCCAAAAACCAAAAAGTTGGTTTAGACACATGACAATTGTGTGAGTGTTTCTGCACAGATAAATTGGATGATAAATCAAGTCGGTTTTGAGGAGGATTTCAACAAGACTCGAGCTTCACCATGAGAGATAACGCCTTGATCGTCACTTCTCTTAGTGGATCCCACGTCCTCTCTCGACCCGTGGGCCTTCCCGTTCTGACGGCCGGTCCGCTACGTCCGGGAGGCGTTCAAGACTTGTTTACCGATCCTACAAATCACCACATGATCATTCCCTGTGTTTTGTCCTCACTCACACAGTTCCGACAATCACTTCCCGAAAGGTCACCCATCCTGAAATTGCTCCAGTTCAAGCACCATTAACATTGGAGTTCTCTGAGGACAGTTGACCGAAAAGATAAGTGCACTTTGGTGACATAGGTGGCCAAGTCAATTCTTTTAAATCTCTCCGCATGCACCACCATATTTCTGAAACCAGAGTGTTACAATTCACCCCCACTAACAGACCGCAACGTCCTCGTTGCGCACCAAGACCGTCACTCCGACGATGTGAGCCCTCTTGACTCCACACTCGTCTGGGTTCGGCTCTGATACCAGTTATAACGCCCTGACCGTCACTTCTCTTAGTAGGCTCCACGTCTCCTCTCTGCTCGTGGGCCCACCCGTGTCTGACGGCCGGTCTGCTACGTCCGAGAGGCTTGAAAGACTTGTTTATCGACCCTACAAATCACCACATGATCTTTCCCTTTGTTTTGTCCTCACTCACACAGTTCCGACAATCACTTCCCAAAAAATCACCCATCCTGAAATTGCTTCAGTTCAAGCACCCTTAACTTTGGAGTTCTCTCAGGACAGTTGACCGAAAAGATAAGTGCACTTTGGTGACATAGGTGGCCAAGTCAATTCTTTTAAACCTCTTGGCATGCACCACCATATTCCTGAAACCGGGGTGTTACAAGAGAGTTGACTATTTGGAATATTTTGTTTATGATATAGTTGAACCTCATGTAAATTGCTTACGCACCCATGTAAAAGGATCGAGCCATTCGAAATTCATACTAAAAAGAGTTTTCTAGGTTTTTGTGTGAGAGATTTCATCCAAAGAGATGCTTCTCTCTTTATATGAACATGTAGTCAGTTTCGAGATATGTACAACTTCCTTATTTATCGAACAGAGATATGTATCTTTTCCTCTTTCTTGGATTCTTAACTTATCTTCTTAGAAGATAAAGGAAAATCTTCTTAACTTATCATAAGACTCATAACTGAAAATGAAGTCTTCTCTATATTAGACAAAAGGAGTTATAACTGAAAAACAAAATCTATTCTATATTGATAAAATCTAATATTTTCAATAAATTAAAAATAAAACTGTTTAAATAAAGTAATACCCAAATCCCAATAGGATACTATAGCTCTGATTTTATTATTTTCAAAATCTGTGAATTTATTACAGTAATTGTATTTGTGAAAAATAGACTTTGTATTTTGGATCATATCTAATATTTTCAATAAATTAAAAATAAAACTGTTTAAATAAAGTAATGCCCAAATCCCAATAGAATACTATAGCTCTGATTTTATTATTTTCAAAATCTGTGAATTTATTACAGTAATTGTATTTGTGAAAAATAGACTTTGTATTTTAGATCATATCTAATATTTTCAATAAATTAAAAATAAAACTGTTTAAATAAAGTAATGCCCAAATCCCAATAGGATACTATAGCTCTAATTTTATTATTTTCAAAATCTGTGAATTTATTACAGTAATTGTATTTGTGAAAAAGTAATTGTATTTGTGAAAAATAGACTTTGTATTTTGGATCATATCTAATATTTTCAATAAATTAAAAATAAAACTGTTTAAATAAAGTAATGCCCAAATCCCAATAGGATACTATAGCTCTGATTTTATTATTTTCAAAATCTGTGAATTTATTACAGTAATTGTATTTGTGAAAAATAGATTTTGTATCTTGGATCATTGAATGAGTGTCATAATTAAAAATAAAAAAATCTAGATATATACAAAATTTGAAATTTAAAGTACTTGAAAAAAAAATTGTTTTTCCATCCCATATATAAATGGACTCAAGACTAGCTAATTCTCTCACAATCTATACTCATCAAGCATCCAAATACAAACATTGTTTAGCTATGACCAACATTTACTTTAGGACCGCTTTTCTTCTCTCCCTCTTGTTGTCCTTCTCTCGTAAGTAAATGTGAATTTTCATTGGTAATTCATAAATTGGTGAAATCGGTTCCAAGATTTTGCATAATTTAACCAATTATACAAATTGTGGAATTGTAATTTATATTTAGCCGTTTGTGATCGATTTTATCGTTTCTAAGTTAAATTCAAACGATTTTTTGCATCATCTATATTTCTATTATATTCATGAACTTAAATGCTTTGGGATTATTATATGTTACGATGTTACCAACCTTATACAAATTTGACAATTTTTTTTTTCTTTAAATAAATTGAAGATCAAAGCATAATAATCGAGGCCAGGGGAGGCAAAGGATGTATAGGCATATGTTATAGATCTCCTACTCCTTCTCCTTCGACGATAGATTCAGAAGAAGGAACCAACAAAGAATGCATGGACCATAAAGGAGTTGGCAGTAAATGTTCTCCTAATCCTTCCCCTTCAATGATAGATTCAGAAGAAGGAGTCTACCAAGAATATTGGGACATTGAAGAACATGAAAGCAAATGTCATTGCAAGTGTCCTAAACATAAACCTCCTACTCCTTCACCTTCAATGACAGATTTAGAAGAAGAAGTCAACCAAGAATATATGGACATTGAAGAACATAACAGCAAATGTCATTGCAAGTGTCATAAACATAAACCTCCTACTCCTTCACCTTCAATGATAGATTCAGAAGAAGGGGTCAACCAAGAATATTGGAACGTTGAAGAACATAAAAGCAAGTGTCATTGCAAGTGTCCTAAACATAAACCTCCTACTCCTTCACCTTCAATGATAGATTCAGAAGAAGCTAAAGCTCCTACTCCCATTGAAAAACGTAAAAGAAAATGCCATTGCAAATGTCATAAAGCTAAAGCTCCTACTCCCATAAATGAATACTATATTTAAAATAGATGTAATGTAAAAATATATTTCTTCATTAATTAATATCAATAAAAAGGATCAATTCTCTATTTTTGTTTGATAGTGATGGAATCAATTTCTAAATGACAATGCTTAATCTTATAACATTAAACAACCGAATATTGGTTTGGATAGATGACAAACCGTTCCTCCTCTGATTTTGGTGCCATCAAGTTCCGGATCACATGTCATGAAGTAAAGAGTACACTACAACAGACGCGCAAAATTCAGTACCAACGAAACCAAATTTAGGAACTCATGTATATAAATCGTTGTAATGTCCATATATAGAAATTCACTACAAAAAAAGCACAAAAAATCAGTATGTACCTAAGAAGCAGTAACGCAAAATCTACAAAATCACATATCTATTTTGAAAGAATCGATTTCACATATAAAACTCTAGATCAACGGAAACTTAACTAGAAGAGAAAACGAAAGGTGTGTACTTGACGAAGGACTCTCCTGATAGGAGGTTTATCAGAAGAATCATGAACATCTAGAAACTCAAAAGCGTAATAAATAGCTTTGTTACCGCCATTAAAGTAGCGAGCATTAGCGATTTTTGTGAAGCCATCGTTCTTGTATTCGTGATTAATTGAACCGTCAGCTGCTCCGATCAAGCTTCCGAGCAAGAAGAACAACGCAATAGCACTAAAACCTAGCCACATTTTTCCCATTCTTGTTACCAGTTGCTCACTTGCTTCTCCTCTCTCACTCACTCAGAGATAGTCGTTTCCGTACTGATACGTTTACGTACACATACTCTCCGAGTCCAAGCTATACAAACACGGACCAACGGCTAAGTTGTTGTATAATTGGCCAGGCCGCCATCACCGTCTTCCTCCTCTCCATCTCCTATCTTCCCGGAGCTTTTTCTGAATTCGACAAAGAGTGCAAACCCGAATCTGACAACACATGTACCAACAAAAACAGAGCATTTGATCTCAAACTCGTAGCAATCTTCTCAATCCTTACTGCTAGCCTTGTTGGCGTTTGCCTCCCGTTCTTCGCTCGTTCTGTTTCCGCTTTCCAACCCAAGAAATCTCTATTCTTTATCGTCAAATCCTTCGCCTCTGAATCATCCTCGCCACTGGTTTCATCCATGTTTTGCCTGATTCCTTCGAAATGCTCTCATATCATTGTCTTAACGATGACCCCTGGCACAAGTTTCCTTTCACCGGCTTTGTAGCCATGATGTCTGCAGTGGTAACAGCGTCTTCAGTAGGTCCAGTAGGAATGAGCCATGTGCTGATGTGGCATCCGCTGAGACACCTGACCAAGAGATGGGGCGCCTGCAAGCTCACGCGCAACATGGTCATGGTCTTAATCTTAATCTTAGCGATGACAAGGAGCTTGGTTCTAGTTTACAGTTTCTCCGATATCGTGTTATTGCCATAGTTAGTATTCCTTCACTCTTTTTTTTTTTTTTTTTGTAATAAAGATTACAAAAATCAAACTCTTAACTTGATTCCAATAAATATTTATAACAAGAGGAAAATGAAAATTTGTTATAACTGCTATAATCATATATCTAGTTCATATATACATATATCTTATTTCTTTTATATACATATGCAAACAATTACATCTAATGCCATTAACAATTTGACTAAAGTTCTCCAAATTTTACAAAAAGATTATAGATTTTTCCCCTATGAATAGATTATTCAATCGGTTTCTTTTTAATTATCCTTTTTTTTTTCGAAACAAATCAGTTCAACCAAATTGGAAATCTTTATTTTGAATGCAGAAGATTTAGAAACTATATTGGATCACTCCAACATATTCACCATTTAGTACCTTTATATACTGATTTAATAATTGACTGAATGACTGATATTGAAAGGAATAAATGGATCAGGTATTGGAGCTAGTAGGCCTGGGCACGAAGCGGATATCCGGAAAAATTGTGATATTTGTTATTCGATTCGTTTTAACCGAATACCTGATTTTGTGATTTGCTTTGATTCGAAAATTTCCGGATATCCGGAAATTCGAATATCCAGATTTTTTTGTGATATTTGCGGATATCCGCTTTGATAAATATAGATATTATAAAAATCTGTAAACTATATAACCATATCAAATATTTAAAGTTTTTATTTAACATGCTTTCAAAATAAGTTCCAAATATCAAACATAACCGTTGTTGTTATCACCGGTCAACAAAATGTTATCAAACTAATTCCAAAAACCAAAACCCGATAGATTAAGATGTCATTGATCAAAACATAACTTGAAAGAAAAATGATCAAACAAACATCTTAACATAAAAACATAAGGTAGCAACAATACACAAACTATTTATGATATCTATATATAGACATAACTATATATTCTAATATATATCAAAAGATACGGATCGAAGCGGATATTCGACTTTTTAAAAAACAATATTTGTTATTTGCTTCGGTTTTTAAGAATACTACATTTTCCTATTTGCTTTGGTCCAAAATCTTACGGATATTCGGATTTTTCGAATCGAATCAAATCGAATACCGAGTCGAAGCGGATCGAACGAATATTTTGCCCAGCCCTAGGAGCTAGGAATAGTGGTGCACTCGATTGTGATCAGACTATCCGTAGGGGCCACTAACAATACTTGCACCATCAAAGGCCTCATCGCTGCTCTTAGTTTCCACCAAATGTTCGAAGGCATGGGACTCGGTGGCTGCATCCTCCAGGTGAATCCCTCCCTATAAATTAATTAGTTCAGCCCGACATAGTCAGGGTCATCTAAACCAGTTTCAATTCGATTTTGTTTCTCCAAAGTTTGTGGTTCTGGAATAAATTGACTCATGAGATGTCTTTGAGTGGTAATGCGGAAATAGGATAACTACTATAGTTACTAAATTAATTAGTAATACATAAGATGAGAGTTTGAGAACAACTGCAGGCAAAGTACGGGCAGGTGAAAAAGGCGGTGATGGCCTTCTTTTTTGCGGTCACAATGATTTCCGGGGTGGTTTTAGAAATGGCTTTATCTAAAACGTACAAAGAGAATAGCCCTAACTCACTCATAACGGTTGGACTGCTCAACGCTTCTTCAGGTGGACTACTCATATACACGGCTTTAGTGGACCTTCTCGCGGCAGATTTTATGGGTCAAAAGATGCAGCTAGCAGAGCATTAAGCTTCAGATGAAGTCATATGCCGCTGCTCTGCTTGGTGCCGGTGGCATGGCCGTCTTGGCTACCTTTGATGATGTACTTGATGATGTACCAATAATGGTACCTTTGACTCTTTATTTTCTTCTCTTTTGTACATCTACTAGTGGATTTGTGAGATATATGTCAATGAGATAATCTGATCCAAGCTCTAGTAACCGGTTATTTAATACTCCCTCAGTCCCAACTCCCAAGTCTAGACTTCTTTTTCTTGTTTCATTTTATTAGATTTTTTGCAAATATTTATGCATAATTTATGTTTATTTAGTATATTATGACCATTTGTATTCTAAAGGTTATTTCTATTTATTATTTTCTTAAAAGAAATATTGAATAATATATTTATGTAAAAATAAAAAAAATCTGATAATATGGGACAAAGGCAGTAGATCATTACTTAAGTTATGGATAGAATGATTTTTTTGGTTGAAAAATGCAAAAAAATTGTTATGATGGTACTAACAACAGTGATGTAAAGTAAAATTTATGAGTAATACTTGGAAGAAAAAAGTTTTTTATATATAAATAATATTTATAAGTATATATATTTTATATCAAGTAATTTTTTCTGTTTTTTTTTAATACAAAAAGCAAAAACGAAAGAAAGAAAAAAGCAGTTTGAAAAACTGTAGTAATTTTATTTGTGGAAGATATACTCCCTATTTTGGATCATCGAGTCATAACTGATAATAAAGTCTGCTCTATATATATAGACAAAATCTAATATGAAATATAGACAAAATCCGAAATTTCATAATAATAAGTGTCATACTAATAAAAATATAGACAAAATCTGAAACTTAAAGTACATTCCAAATGTTTGACAAAAAAAAAAGTACATTCCAAATAAAGTTAAAAAGCTGTTTTTTTTCATCCCATGTATAAGTAAAGGCAAGACTAGCTAGTTCTCTCACAAAACCAAACTCATCAAGCATTCCAATACAAAAACATTGTTTAGCTATGGCCAACCAATACTTTAGGATCGCTTTTCTTCTCTTCCTCTTCTTGTCCCTCTCTTGTAAGTAAATGTGAATTTTGATGCAAATTCATAAAATGGTGAAGTTGTTCAAATATTTTGCATAATTAACCAATTATACAAATTGTGTGGAATTGTAATTTATGTTTAGTAGTTTGTGCTAAATTCTGCCGTTTTAGAAACAAAGCAAAAAATCACATGTTCTAAGTTAAACTTAAGCTATTTTGCACTTAATCTATGTTTCTATTAAATTTTTGGATTAAAAAAAACATTTGGGACTTTTCTTGTATTACGGATCATATATGTGATTAATGTTTCTATTTTTTGAAAACATATAATATACTAATTTGACGTTTTTGTTTTTCTTAAAATAAATTGAAGATCAAAGCATAAGAATCGAGGCTAGGGAAGGCAAAGGATGTATAGGCAAATGTTACAGATCTCCTACTCCTTCCCCGTCGATGATAGATTCAGAAGAAGAAGCCAACAAAGAACAAAACAACCTTAAAAGACTTACGGTATCCCCTATCGCTTCTGCTTCGGTATCTCCTATCGCTTCTGCTTCGGTATCTCCTATCACTTCTCCTTCGGTGAAACTTACGCCTCCTTACGCTTCTCCTTCGGTGAGACTTACGGGCACAACTCCCAACGCTTCCCCTACGCTTACGCCTCCTAACCCTTCCCCTTCGGTGAGACTTGCAGGGACAACTCCTAACGCTTCCCCAAGACTTGCAGGGACAACTCCTAACACTTCCCCTTCGCTTACGCCTCCTAACCCTTCCCCTTCGGTGAGACTTGCAGGGACAACTCCTAACGCTTCCCCGAGACTTGCAGGGACAACTCCCAACGCTTCCCCTTCGCTTACGCCTCCCAACGCTTCCCCTTCGGTGAGACTTTCAGGGACAACTCCTAACGCTTCCCCGAGACTTGCAGGGACAACTCCCAACGCTTCCCCTTCGCTTACGCCTCCTAACCCTTCCCCTTCGGTGAGACTTGCAGGGACAACTCCTAACGCTTCCCCAAGACTTGCAGGGACAACTCCCAACGCTTCCCCTTCGCTTACGCCTCCTAACCCTTCCCCTTCGGTTAGACTTGCAGGGACAACTCCTAACGCTTCCCCGAGACTTGCAGGGACAACTCCCAATGCTTCCCCTTCGCTTACGCCTCCCAACGCTTCCCCTTCGCTTACGCCTCCCAACGCTTCCCCTTCAGTGAGACTTTCAGGGACAACTCCTAACGCTTCCCCGAGACTTGCAGGGACAACTCCCAACGCTTCCCCTTCGCTTACGCCTCCTAACCCTTTCCCTTCGGTGAGACTTGAAGGGACAACTCCCAACGCTTCCCCTTCGCTTACGCCTCCTAACCCTTCCCCTTCGGTGAGACTTGCAGGGACAACTCCTAACGCTTCTCCGAGACTTGCAGTGACAACTCCCAACGCTTCCCCTTCGCTTACGCCTCCTAACCCTTCCCCTTCGGTGAGACTTACCCCTCCAAATGCTTCACCCTCGCTTACGCCTCCTAACCCTTCCCCTTCGGTGAGACTTGCAGGGACAACTCCCAACGCTTCCCCTTCGCTTACGCCTCCTAACCCTTCCCCTTCGGTGAGACTTACCCCTCCGAATGCTTCACCCTCGTTTACGCCTCCTAACCCTTCCCCTTCGGTAGTCTCTCCGAATGCTTCCCCCTCCTTCCATACATGAATATTATGTTCTAAACTAGATGTAACCCTGAAATCTATATGTTTTGTTTTATAATTAGTTTACATTAATAAAAAGGATCAAATAAATCTCCGTTTTGGTTTTAAAGTGATGAAATCAATTTCTATATGACGTTGCTTAATCGAATAACATTAGATCTTTAATTTTTTTTTGAAATATATGACCAACCCAAGAATATGGATCCAAAAACCGGAAATTGATTTAGACTGATGACAATCTACGGATAATTATAACATGTGGTGTGTTACAAACGATTTTAGTTTAACATGAATATCTTAAAATGTATAATGCAAACGATTTTAGCTGTAAACCAAATGTTCAGGTTATCAATATATATACTGTCTTCAAATCTAGTAATAATATGGTACGTGTGTAAATACAATTGTTAATATAGCAAGCAAATGAGTGAATGACTTATATATATGGGTATTCAAGCTTATACTTGATCATACGCATATCTCCACATCTAGAAGGTCACAGCAATGGTCAACTCACTCTTTTGTATATAAAGCAGAAAATACGTAACGTAGGCGTATATAATTAAGTACATGAATCATATGTTTATTAGACGTGTAAGAGTAAACTTAGGTAGATGCATGTTAAGGGTTATGGGGGAACTATAGTTTTCCTGTACGAAAGAGAATTCTCATTTGTGACTAACATTTAATTCATATGATTATGAAGGACAAGCAAGATCTTGCAATGCGACATAAACTCTGAGTGCCACAACCTACTTACTTGTCAGAGAGGTCTGACATATTGCGACAATGGAAATTGCAAGTGTCTTACGTTACAAGCGATGGATACAAATAGAGTCGACGTGAATCACATAGGGGAATGTAACACATACCTTGACTGCCAAATCATGCGTAGTTGTGATAAAGGTCGAAGCTATTGTGACAGCGGAATTTGCAAGTGTTTAACGTTACAAGCTATGAATACAAAAGGAATTGATGTGAATCATGGAGGGATATGTGACACATACCTTGAGTGTGGAAGCATGCTATGTTTTGATTATCGGCGGCCGTGTTGCGTAAATGGAAAATGCGTGTGTCGCAAACAGGGCCAATTTGTGCCCAACTGCCCAAAATAAATTATGTGAAAATTATCTTTGTAACCAACTCAATGCACCCTAGTTATGTTCTATCATGCCTCCAATATTTAATTTGATGGAATAAGTTATTAAGTACTTTGTATCGATAGACAACCTTCTAATAAAATTAGATGTTAAAAATAAAATAAAAAGTCTTATTTCATCAGTTCCTTATAAACCATTTGTTAATTATATATATATATATATATATATATATATATATATATATATATCAAACTTTTGTTTTAGAATGTGTGTTCTTTCTCATTTTATCATCTTATTATGTCATGTCTTTGTCTTTTTAAGTATAAAATGAATGATAAAACATACTTAGAGATTGAAATGGATCGATGGAATTTTTGATTTAGGTCTATGGATTCAGATATGTTAAATTTAAGGTTAAGCTATCCAAATCCTGAATTCGATATGTGATCTTCAAAAATCTTAAAACTCGAATACATTATCAATGTTTTCGCCGAGGATGGTTTTTACCGGTTCGCCGGTTTTCATTGGTTTTAAGACTTCATATATTCAACTCGGGTTTTCCATGATAAACATGACCATGCAAGGGTATCATTCGCGGTATGATGGGTTCAAACCGGTCGATCCATTTCGGTTTACAGTTTTTATAAATCAATGGTAGTTGTACGTTTCAAATTGAGCACTTACTTAACTAACCGGAGAGCTTAATTGAAAGAGATAGAATTGCGATAAATGATTTTTTTATTGAATTCAGGAACAAGAGAATCAATTACAAAGAGATCATCCTTGCATTGATAGCGCGTTAGGATTTTTCTCTGAAAGTTGAATGTCTAGGATTCTTGAAAGGCGAATTGTGGATCCCTTTCTTGGTGACAGCTCATTTTTCTTTATACTCTTCCTCCTAAGTCTTGGAATATGATTTCTTACCATTTTTTTCTATCCAAAATTTTCCTCTCTTTTCTCTTTCTCAAGATTGCGTAATATCGAACGTATATTCGAGTTAATCCATTTTCCGTTAGGTTGATCTCGATCTCTCTATTCCACGTAATTGGGCCTTACCCCAAAATAAGTGGATATCCTTCATTGGATCGAACCCGATAAGATATTTCTGAAGTTCGGTTTATTCTTGGTTCGAGTCGAGTTAACCGGATGATGCTAAATCACTCACCAACATTAATATTGAATTGATACTTGATAGTATAGACTATAGGATTTTTTTTCTTTTTTCTTTTCTTAAATTGATATTTATGATGTAATTAGATATTGGCTTCGTGGCTTGTAGTGCTGATTTAAAAAACTTATAACCAATGCAACGCCGGTTCGATACTTCACAATTTAGGGTTGTTTTAAAAATTCACAAATTCTACAATTCGCCTCCTTTCTCGATCCTCTCAAAATCTCCACCACCAATGAAGCGACGACGCCGTAACTCCAAACTTAAATTCGAAGAACCCTCCGACCAATCACCGGCAACCACGGCGGAGTTCTCCTTCTCTCTCACCAAAATCGCCGTCAGTCAAATCTGCCAATCTATTGGATACAACGCCACCGATTCATCCGCTCTCAACACTCTAACCTTAACCACCACCAAATTCTTACAATCCCTCGCCGAACTCGCATCGTCGTTCTCTAACACCGCTAATCGAACAGAGGTTAATCTCTTCGACATCGTTAACGGTCTCCAAGATATCGCTTTATCTACTTCCGATTGTTTCCCCGGCGGATCCACCGTGCACGATATTGAATCTCATTGCTTGATCAAATCAGCTGTTCTTCGTAACCTCTCCGATTTCGTCAAGTATGCTCCTGAGATCCCTTTCGCTAAGCCGTTACCGAAACGAGAAAGAGACGGATCATTCGGAGGAGATTTGGATCAAGCGCCGGTGTCTCGATCGGTGGAGGTGAAGTCTGTTCCAGCTTGGCTTCCTCCTTTCCCAGACGTTAGTGTCTACTCCGATCGTTGTTCAAAGGATAGATCTGATCACTTGTGGGAAAACTCTGATTCCGTTATTGGCCGTGAAATTATGCCGGAGATTTTGCAATCTAAAAGCGGAGGAAGATTACCTGTAAGGAGAGATAGAGTGAAATTCAAGATAGAACAACGAGATTGGCACAGTGGTGGTGATACGAGATTGGAGCGGTGGCGGGAGAATAACGACGGCGAATCTGGCGGTGGAGTTGATGTTAAGAAGAAAATTAGACAAGGATACACTTACTGTGCCGGCGAGTGGCCGATTTAAGTATATTCTGGTGACGAGGACATAAAAAAAAATAACAAAATCGCGAGGGCTTTAGATGGAGTCGAACCCGCGAGGCTTGAGAACTTGCGTGAATGGCGAATTGGTATTTACCGAACGAGCTGAATCTCTAAATGTTTCAGTATTCCAATTGTTTTTTTTATAAAGCCATGACTATAAAGATTTACTTTATTTCTTTCTATGGGGTTATTTATTTTTAAAATTGAAATAGAAAAATGGTGGAATTACATTTCAATATATTTTCGTTTGTCAAAATGCAAGATTTAAATATTGAACCTGTTCGACTTTAGTTGATCTTTTTTAGTCATTGAACCATCGTACAAGTGAACAATGGATTCGTCTCACGAATAGGGGTTTGTTCATGATTCATGAATATGATGCTTATGGTGAAGTGTGGTTCTTTTGGAAGCTAGAATGAGTTATTTCTCAAAAATTTAGGAAAAAAACAATGTAATTGTTTGATTCATTTTTATAAAAATAATGCAAACTATAGGTTGGTGGATTAAAAATTATTGAAAAACAGAAATGTCATGTGTTATTCTTTTCACCAAATTTCATGTATTTATATGAAAAAGCTTTTTAAGCAACTTGACTCTAGTGTGGCATGGATAGACACATTTATGCAGTCTTTTTCTTAACATTATTTTTCATTAAGATCCAAATGAATCTCAACCGTCCATTCATAAGAGAAGTAATACAAAAGCTACACGTGGCAACCATCGAGTTTTGAGGTACACTGTTTTCATTACCTCCACTATGATTCATATATATATAACAAAAACAAGTCGCCTTCCTTCTCAAAATTTACTGAAATTGCCACTGTTTTCGAGTTTGTTGGTTCTCCGATCTCGGCGGTGTCTTCTTCTCCGGTGGATATTCTCGTTTTGAAAACCTTCCGGTAGTGTTTGACTGAGCTACGGTATGATTGTCTTCTTCATTTTCTTTTGGAATTAGTCGTTGTATGGAGTGAGTAATCCACTGGTTTTGACTTTAACTTGTAGAAATCGAATTTGAAAAATTTCTACAGAATATGCCGGTGGTTTCTCTGGCTAAGGTTGTTACTTCTCCGGCGGTGGCCGGAGATTTAACGGTTCGTGTTCCGTTCATTTATGGGAAACGACTCGTGACGAATCGTGTTTCTTTCGGGAAATTGAGGAGCCGGAATTGTATAGGTCATTGCGTAAGAAGCGAATTGCAGAGTCCTCGTGTCTTAGGTTCCGTCACAGGTTTGAAACTCTGACGTTGTTTTTGCTTTGTTATCTGGAAAAAATTGGTGATTGTTATTGTGTCGATGGTGATTTGCATTTTCTTTGGTGTTTTTGAATAGATTTAGCGTTGGATAATTCTGTGGAGAATGGTCATCTTCCCAAAGGAGATTCATGGGCTGTACACAAATTTGGAGGAACTTGTGTGGGAAATTCTGAGAGGATAAAGGATGTTGCTGATGTTGTTGTTAAGGATGACTCTGAGAGGAAGTTGGTGGTTGTGTCAGCAATGGCGAAAGTCACTGATATGATGTATGATCTTATTCACAGAGCACAGTCTCGGGATGATTCATATCTGTCTGCTTTGAGCGGTGTTCTTGAAAAGCACCGAGCAACGGCTGTTGACTTGCTTGATGGAGATGAACTCGCGAGTTTCTTGGCTCGGTTAAATGATGATATAAACAATCTCAAAGCAATGCTTCGTGCCATTTACATAGGTACTGTTTTTTTTCCCTTTGTCAATTCTCAATGCATATTGTTAGGAGGAGGTATTAAGTAATTGAATTGGATTTGTATATGTTCTTTTGAAATCTTATTCCTTCTGTTACGAACTCTTCTATCTCTGCAGCTGGTCATGCAACAGAATCTTTCTCAGACTTTGTTGTGGGTCATGGAGAGTTGTGGTCTGCTCAGATGTTAGCTGCTGTTGTGAGAAAGGTATAAAAGTCCTATATGACGTGCCGCGAGAAACTCCCTAAAGTAAAGAACTAGTTGTTCTTTTATTTTACCTTTCTAATATGCTTGTGTTGGTTTTGCTCATAGAGTGGATTGGACTGCACATGGATGGATGCAAGGGATGTGCTTGTTGTTAGTCCAACGAGCTCTAATCAAGTCGACCCTGACTTTGTGGAATCAGAAAAGAGACTGGAAAAATGGTTTACTCAGAACTCGGCAAAGATTATTATAGCAACTGGCTTCATAGCCAGTACACCACAGAACATTCCAACGACTCTCAAGAGGGATGGGAGTGACTTCTCTGCAGCTATAATGGGTGCTCTGTTTAGATCTCACCAACTCACAATCTGGACAGATGTTGATGGTGTGTACAGTGCAGATCCAAGGAAAGGTATGTGCAAGCCTCCATTTAACTGATATATAGTTAGGACTAGTTATTGAGCCATGACAGGCGTGTATTCCTCATCATGTTTGTCTATTGTTATGCTAATGATTATGTTTTGATGCAGTTAGTGAAGCTGTTGTACTGAAGACTCTTTCTTACCAAGAGGCTTGGGAAATGGTAAATTTCCAACCTCTTGCACTTGTTTAAATGCCTGATTTTTCAGAATCGTTGTTTACACCTAACATTCATGTTCATATGCATGCGCAGTCTTACTTTGGGGCAAACGTTTTACATCCTCGGACCATTATTCCAGTGATGAAATATGACATCCCAATTGTAATAAGGAATATTTTCAACCTCTCTGCCCCTGGAACAATGATATGTCGGCAGATTGAAGATGAAGATGGATATAAATTAGACGCTCCTGTCAAAGGGTTTGCGACGATTGACAATTTGGCTCTTGTAAATGTGGAAGGGTGAGCTGATAGTGGATATTGTGTTACACATGCGGCTGCTTATTGTACTTATACAAACTCTGCATTCTCTTTATAGAACTGGAATGGCTGGTGTTCCTGGTACTGCCAGTGCCATTTTTTCTGCTGTCAAGGAAGTTGGAGCTAATGTTATTATGATCTCACAGGTTATTTAGTTCAGGTTTCTGATTTCTTTCATCGGTTATGTATTCACTTGTCAATTGTAAGTTCTTAATAAAATTATATAAATGCAGGCTAGTAGCGAGCATTCTGTGTGCTTTGCTGTACCTGAGAAGGAAGTGAAAGCTGTTTCTGAAGCATTGAACTCACGATTTCGTCAAGCTTTGGCTGGTGGCCGCCTTTCCCAGGTGCCTTTATCTCTCTCTTGTTGGTAAAAGGGTATCAAATAGCTATTTTTCTTGGCAAATCAGCCGGATCCTTGTTTAGGCATCCACTATCTTTCTCAAACTGTGGTTTCATTGTTTTCATTCAGATTGAAATCATCCCTAATTGTAGCATATTAGCAGCAGTTGGCCAGAAAATGGCGAGCACTCCTGGTGTTTCTGCCACTTTTTTCAGTGCGTTAGCAAAGGTAAACTAAGTGTAGTGTTTGCAAAGAAAATCAGAAACGGTTCATCATCCATTTCATATCCTTTTTTTTCTGCTAAAAAGCTCTGCTGATACAATGCCATACCTAAATAACTGCAGGCCAATATCAACATCCGTGCTATAGCTCAAGGTTGCTCCGAGTTCAATATTACAGTAGTCGTCAAGCGTGAAGATTGCATTAGGGCATTAAGAGCTGTGCACTCAAGATTTTACCTTTCGAGAACCACTTTGGCAGTGGGAATTATAGGACCGGGATTAATTGGTGGAACCTTACTTGATCAGATTAGAGATCAGGTGAGTATCTGATGCTTATATGCGAGATTATAGTAAAATACGGATCAATGTTCAAGCTGCATCATCTTTATATTTCCTTTCACAGGCGGCAGTGCTCAAAGAAGAATATAAAATTGACTTGCGTGTTATAGGGATCACAGGCTCAAGTAAAATGTTGATGAGTGAATCGTAAGCCAACGAACTTGATAATGATACATAACTTTTTCGGTGAACTTTCTACTGCTGTAATCTTTTTACACCAATCGTCATCTTTTTAGGGGGATTGACTTATCAAGATGGAGAAAACTTATGAAAGAAGAAGGAGAAAAAGCTAACATGGAGAAGTTCACCCAATATGTGAAGGGAAATCATTTCATTCCAAACTCTGTTATGGTTGATTGTACGGCCGATGCTGATATCGCTAGCTGTTACTACGACTGGTTGCTACGAGGAATTCATGTGGTCACTCCGAACAAAAAGGCCAACTCTGGACCACTTGATCAGGTAAAGTGTTTGATCTTTGCTTAAATGACTGTTGGATCGGCAGCTACAAATATGTTCACCTTGAGTATATATCCATTAAGATTCCGAGATTTATGAACAGAGAGACTGATTGGTAACACTCTCCTGTAAATGCAGTATCTAAAGATAAGAGATCTTCAAAGAAAATCATACACACATTACTTTTATGAAGCAACCGTTGGAGCTGGTCTTCCAATTATCAGCACCTTACGTGGTCTCCTCGAAACAGGGGATAAAATACTGCGAATTGAGGGAATTTTCAGGTATCTCCTCTTCGGCTTGGTACCACAGCAATTTGTTCAGATAACACAACAACGGCCTTGCTTTGCACCTTCACACTAAAATTTTGCTTTGATGCCTTTCTGCAGTGGTACTTTAAGTTACCTCTTCAACAACTTTGTCGGCACCAGAAGCTTCAGTGAAGTTGTAGCAGAAGCAAAGCAAGCAGGTTTCACAGAACCAGATCCACGAGATGATCTATCTGGAACAGATGTTGCTAGAAAAGTAGGGTTTTTTTTTCTGTCATCAAATCGAGTCAATGCACCTTGTAAATGATATTGAACCTTATCGTATCTGCTACTTCTGCAGGTAACAATCCTTGCCAGGGAATCAGGCTTAAAATTGGATCTTGAGGGCCTTCCAGTCCAGAATCTTGTGCCAAAGCCGCTACAAGTAAGTCTCTGTATAATCACACAATTAAATTCATCAACAATAAGGATAATCTTTTTGACATTTCTTATTCCCTTGTTGATCACAGGCTTGTGCATCAGCAGAAGAGTTCATGGAGAAGCTACCTCAGTTTGATGAAGAATTATCCAAACAAAGAGAAGAGGCTGAAGCAGCAGGAGAAGTAAGTAGTACCTCTTAGCATAACTATTTTAACACCAAATTGCGCCACCTTATAAAGAACTCATTTCAGATTTTGTTGTGTTGTGTCTTTCTTTAGGTCTTGAGATACGTAGGAGTTGTAGACGCAGTAGAGAAAAAGGGAACAGTCGAGTTGAAACGGTACAAAAAAGATCATCCATTTGCTCAGCTCTCGGGCGCTGATAACATCATCGCTTTCACAACCAAACGGTACAAAGAACAGCCTCTGATTGTTCGTGGCCCTGGTGCTGGTGCTCAAGTCACAGCCGGTGGAATCTTCAGTGACATTCTTCGCCTTGCATTCTATCTCGGGGCTCCGTCTTAAGGCACAATCGTTTCTTGTAGGAACAAATCTAATGATCAAACCCTGTTTCTACATGCTAGATCTGTAATTTGGATTCCATAGATTTTGATTCTTATAGATGAAACCAAACGTCATGGTAATAAAACACTTTAGGAAAAAATTGAATAAAGGCTGTTGGTATCAACACAAGCACTGAAATGTTGTCTCCTGGCTCGAATTCATCTCATTTCATATGATTTTGACCCAACCGAAACAAAATTTAGCATCAGAAACATTTCTCAATCTATACTTTCGGCAAAAAAACTTCTACAGCGTGCAGACTATAACCTAATCTAATATCCAATGCGGTTGAAACACTTTGTTTCGAAAATGGAACTATCTGAGATCCAATGCAGTTTAACTTCATTTGTAGAGGATCTAATAGTACTCGTCAGGGTTTTCTTTGCTTTGAATGAGAGGGACACCGTCTTCTCTCCATTTAATCCGCTCTTCGCAAATCGCAGCCACCACCTCGACATACAGTTTGTGTTCCTGAGCCCAAAATGGAAAAAAAAGGAAGCAAATGAAATCTTCTGAACTGTGAAATGTAATGTTCAAAACTATTCTTTAGTAGTACCTCATGAAGAACCCTTTTAGCCAATTCTTCTGGTGTATCATTAGCAATCACACGGACTGCACTTTGAGCAAGTATCCGACCTGTATCGTACTCCTCATCGACAAAGTGAATTGTCGGACCTGAATATCTACGGAAAGAAAAACCGTTGAATGTTTTCTTGCGCAAAAGAAAAGGAAACAAAAAAACTACACATCCGTAACATTGTATTACCTAGCTCCCGATTCTAGAACAGCTTTATGCACTCTTATACCATACAGACCTTTGCCTCCGAAAGCAGGAAGAAGAGCAGGATGAATATTTAGAATCCGTTTAGGAAATGCTTGGACAAGCTCGACTGGTATAAGTTTCAAATATCCAGCTAAAAGAACAAAGTCTACACCATATTTCCTGTTCATCAAGCAAATGTGAAGAGACATATAGTGAACTTTCAACAACGCCTTAAGACATTCACTTCAAGGGTAAAGATACAAAGGAAAATGGAGAGAGAGAGATGCTAACCTAAGTACATCTACAAGCTCTGAAGAAGAGAGTCCATCGGATGGTTCTCGTTTCGCTTTTGGGAATACTAAAACAGGAATTCCATTATTTCTTGCATACTCAGCACCTCCACAATCTAAATTGATGAACTTAAGCAAGTAAGTATTGCAGGGTTTTCAAAAATACCAAAATCGAAACTCCGAATGAATTCACATTACACAAAACAGAGCTATTCGAATTCCACAAACTAATTAATCATATATTAGCAGTTCTTTTCTGATCAATTAACTCTAAAAACGAAAACACACAGAAACTAGAATTGCAACTTAGGAAGACCAAAATCAATACTTGAAGAAGAAGAAAGGTGATACCTTTTTTGTTAGTGACCAACAAAACAACATCCCCATTAACAGAACCATCACTGCATCCCTCATGAATCTTCCTGAAATTCGAACCACCTCCCGAAACAAACACAGCAAGCTTCTTCCTTCTAGACTCGTCTCTCGAACCATCGACCTCCGCTACTATCTTTGTAGCAAACGAAACAGCTTTTACAAGCGGTCCAATCCTCATCACAAATCTGCCTGCGTGACTTGGGAAAGAGAAGGAGAGAACATTCCGGGGAGGAGTGAACGGAGCAATCGAGGTTTCACGGGTCTTCACCGGGAATTTGAATTGACTGGAGAACAAAACCCGTGATTCCATCCTAATCGGAGGTTTTTGTCGGAATAGGTGACTGCTCCTCGGAGACTGGTCTGTTTAAGGTTTAGAAGTTTTGCTTTAAAACACCGTGCTGTCTCATTAGAATCCTATCCTACTGCATGCCGTTTTTATCTTATAAAAACAACAGCGCTAACCTGTGAGAGAGAGGAATCAAATCAATCACCCGTAATTGAATTGCCGGTTCAATCCGGCTATCTCCAATTAACCCGTAATTAACTCAATTAAGGTCTTACTTTAGTGTTTGTTCTATTAAAGCCCATTGGCCCAACAAGGCCCAATTTAAACGAGGCGGTTCATGAACAAAAAAAATCTTCTTCCTCTTCACTCCGATTTCTCCTACGGTCTCTTTCTCTCTCTGAGAAATCGAGAGACTAATATTTGTCACCTGAAATTTGTTCCCTGGAAAATCGTTCGTTTGGTGTTTCTTCGTCGCCTTCTTCTTCTCAGGTACCCTTTTTCTTCTAACCCCTTTTGGCTCTGTGAATCGGTCATCTTTTTGTGCGTTGTTTTGTCATTTTCAATGCTTGAATTTGTATCAAGATTATGTTTTTTCGTAGCTGTAGATTTCCAAGATTTTCTTAGAAACAAGAACAAAGAAATGGCTCTAGTACATTTTTGCTTTTATCGCCGATGGTACGGCTTATTACGGGAGCATTTTGCAAATCGTTGTAGACGTATGATTTTGTTTTTTGAGGTTTCTAGATTGCTTTGATTGCTAGAAAAATCTGAACTTGTGTCATTGGCTTCGTTGTACAGAAACTAGGGATCCCATTGCTCCGAGAGCTGACGTTTGGTACAGATTCTGGTTCTGTTGTTTGTGGAGTGATAGAGAATGAGCTCTCAAGTCAGGAGAGATCGGAGAGAGAGGCAAAGATTCATTCCTCAAACTTCTCAGCAAACATGGGTTCCAAGAGGAACTTCCTCGACCTCGGTTGTTGTAAACGAGACTCCCTTTCCTTTCGACGCGAATACAAATTTTGGAAGCCTTGATGCTGGTGCTAGACCCGGTCCTGTTTATCAGCAAAGGCAGCACTATGAGTCTGGCCCTTTGCTTAATAACCCGCACCAAAGGAGTTATGTCCCGGGTCCTCCTCCTTTTAACCGTCAAAGGAGGAATAATGCTTCGAGACCTGTGCCTGTTAACTGTCAGAGAGGGGGTTCTAAGGGTCGCTTGGTCCAGAATGTGAATGAGGGAACAAGGTTGGATAAAGAAAGGAGTGTGCATAAAGAAAATACTGTGTTGACAGACCCAAATCTGCCTCAACTTTTGCAAGAGATACAGGATAAGCTAATGAAGGGTTCTATAGAGTGCATGATTTGTTATGATATGGTTAGGCGGTCTGCTAATATCTGGTCTTGCTCCAGTTGTTACTCCATATTTCATCTGAATTGTATCAAGAAATGGGCTCGAGCGCCAACTTCGGTTGATTTGTTGGCGGATAAAAACCAAGGTAGTAATTGGAGATGTCCAGGTTGTCAGTTTGTTCAGTTGACATCGTCAAAGGATATACAGTATCGATGCTTTTGTGGAAAGAGGAAAGACCCACCTAGTGATCCATATTTGACTCCTCACTCTTGTGGAGATATATGTGGGAAGCCGCTGGAGAAAGAGTTTGCAACAGCTGCGATGGCTAACGAAAATACTTGTCCTCATGTTTGTGTATTGCAGTGTCATCCCGGTCCATGCCCTCCATGTAAGGCATTTGCCCCACCTCGTAACTGTCCTTGCGGTAAGAAGATGATCAGAACCAGATGCTCCGAAAGAAAATCTAATCATACTTGTGGGCAAAGTTGCGATAAGCTTCTTTATTGTGGCCGTCATCGATGTGAAAGGGCATGTCATGTGGGGCCTTGTGATCCTTGTCAGGTACAAGTCAATGCCTCCTGCTTTTGCAAGCAAACAGTGGAGAGTGTAATCTGTGGTGACATGAATGTGAAGGGAGAGGTGAAAGCAGAAGATGGCGTGTTTTCATGCAAATTGAACTGTAGAAAACAGCTTGAGTGTGGTAACCATTACTGTCGTGATGTTTGCCATCCTGGGTCTTGTGGGGACTGTGAGTTCCTGCCTAGTAGAATTAAGTCATGCTATTGTGGGAAAACGAGTTTGGAAGAGGAGAGGCGGAGTTGCCTTGATCCAATTCCTTCTTGCTCGAACATATGCAGCAAGCTTCTTCCATGTGGCCTGCACAACTGCAAAGAAATGTGCCATTCAGGTGGTTGTTCGCCTTGTTTAGTCCAAGTGAGCCAAAAATGTCGGTGCGGCTCAACATCTCGGACTGTGGAATGTTACAAGACAGTTTTAGAGACAGAGAAGTTCATTTGCGCTAAACCATGTGGCCGTAAGAAAAATTGTGGGAGGCATAGATGTAATGAGCGGTGCTGCCCTCTCCTGAACCATCCAAAGAATGATGATCTTTCAGGCGATTTTTTTGATCTCCACTTTTGCCATATACCTTGTGGAAAGAGGCTAAGGTGCGGACAGCATTCCTGTGAAACTCTCTGTCACACTGGTCATTGTCCTCCTTGCCTCGAGATGATTTTCACTGATCTTGCATGTGCTTGTGGGAAAACTTCGATACCTCCTCCATTACCATGTGGAACGCCTGTCCCGAGTTGTCAGCTTCCTTGCTCGGTTCCTCAGCCTTGTGGCCATTCCGCTACACATGGTTGCCATTTTGGAGACTGCATGCCTTGTTCAGTACCCATGGAGAAGAAATGCATTGGTGGTCATGTGGTTCTCAGGAACATACCGTGTGGGTTAAAAGACATTAGATGTAACAAAATATGCGGAAAGACAAGGTGTTGTGGCATGCATGCTTGTGCCAGGGCGTGTCACCCTAAACCATGTGACAATGGTGGTAACGCATCTGTAACTGGTCTACGTGTTACTTGTGGTCAGACATGTGGTGCTCCTAGAAGAGACTGCAGACACACTTGTGCAGCACTGTGCCATCCTTCTGCGCCTTGTCCTGATCAGAGATGTGAGTTTCCACTCAAAATTGCTTGTTCATGTGGTCGCATAACAGCTACCGTCCCTTGTGATGTCGGAGGAAGTGCTGGTGATTTTAGGGGTGACTCTATCTATGAAACCTCCATTTTGCAGAAGCTTCCAGTGACGCTCCAACCTGTCGAGTCAAATGGGAATAGGATTCCTCTTGGGCAGAGAAAGCTTACTTGTGATGAAGAGTGTGCTAAGGTGGAACGTAAGCGGGTTCTTCAAGATGCATTTGATATCACTCCTCCAAGTTTAGACGCTTTACATTTTGATGAGAATACTGCCATGACTGAGATCATTTCAGATCTTTATAGACGTGACCCCAAGTGGGTGCTAGCAGTTGAGGAGCGATGCAAGTTCTTGGTACTTGGAAAGGCCAGAGGTAGCACAAGTAGTTCCCTAAAGCTCCATATCTTCTGTACTATGGAAAAGGATAAAAGAGATGCAGTACGGTTGATAGCTGAGAGGTGGAAACTTGCTGTAAGCAATGCTGGGTGGGAGCCAAAACGCTTTGCAGTGGTTTACGTTACACAGAAGTCAAAACCCCCTACAAGGATCATTGGAGTCAAAGGTGTTGCCTCAGCAGGCGGGCCCCACGCACCAGCCTTTGATCCACTGGTTGATATGGATCCTCGACTCGTGGTTTGTTTTTCTGATCTCCCAAGGGAAGCTAATATCAGTGCCTTGGTTCTGAGATTTGGAGGCGAATGCGAGCTTGTTTGGTTGAATGACAAGAATGCATTAGCCGTCTTCCACGATCCAGTTCGAGCAGCCACTGCCATGAGAAGACTTGAACACGGTTCTGTGTACCAAGGAGCGGTAGTTGTTGTACAGAACCAAGGACAATCTCCGTCTCTCAGTAACGCATGGGGAATACCGGGCAGCTCGGTTCAGAGAGGAAATCCATGGAATAAGGCTGTGATTAAAGAATCAGATGACTCTTGGGGAACAGAAGATTCTCCCATTGAAGGGTCTATTTTGAAATCAGCAAAGGATAACGCTTTGATCACTCCTTTAGTCAACCGTTGGAGCTTTCTCGAGTCAGATAAGACTGTTTCAGTGGAGCCGCTAGCTCAGACCGAAGGGACAAGTAGTTCGAAAGCTGCTGGTAAAGAACCGGAAGAGACCGCAGTGGTTGATGATTGGGAGAAAGTATGCGAATGAGTGGAGAAGATAAAACGCCAATGAAGTTTCTCTGTGAGTACTCAATTTTTTTCTTTTGACTATTGGACTAGTGGAGCTTCATTCACTTCTGGTGTTCTTTCACTTCGGAGCTCAAAAACAGAGGATCGTTTATTTAGATTGGTCAACTTCTTTTGAAGCTTTTTATGTTTTGAAAACTTTTCTCGAAACCCGCAGATTATGTTGAAATTTTACTCATATGATATGAGACTCGCTGAATCAAAAAAGAGTCTTGGTTGGGTTAGCCTAGTAGTGAATATTGATTACTTTTGTGGAAGAGACCAATTTGGACTGCAACAAAGCTTTTTCCGTTACTGTTGTCATTGTGTTAAATTTTGTTTTACATCAAACCACAGGACGAAACTTAATCTACACAGATGACCAAAGGAATCAGAAAAAAAAATAGGTTTGACCTTTGAAAGTGACTTGAGATTCAATAGTAGAAGAGAATCAAGAAGAGTGTCAAGTGGTTTTAAGAAACATACTTTGTTTGATTCTTATTCAGATTAAGCGCAACAAGTTGTCGATATATGCTTTGCCTTTCGTTGGCCATTCAAGCATTTTTTATAACTTTGTCTCTCCAACTAAAGAAACGTCAGGTTTTTGGGTAAAATTCTTATATCTCCCTTCTTCTGTCACAATCTTTTCTTTGTTTATCGACATGAGAAAATAAGTCTATATAAAGTCCATTTCGAGAGATTTGGTATTGTTGTTTTTAGTGTAAAAAGGAAGAAAAAAAAATCAGAAAATGTCTTCACAAAAGAGTTCGCACCATAAGGCAGACTCCAAAATGGAACAAGATGTGAGTTTCTTTGTTTCTTTTCTTTGCTCTTGAAGATAATTTGCGACATCTTTTTAAATACGAAATAACAAAACTGTTATTATAAATGTTTATCTTGCTTTTGTCGTTTTTAATGTTAATTTGGGCAGAGCAATAGAAAAGCATGGATTTTACAACCGAGTGGTCTTAACTTTGTCTGGGGAGGTGACTCGAGATATTGGGTTATCCCTAAAGAACCAAGGTGCCTTCCGATTCATTCAGACTTAACCGATAAACCAAACTCTGGGCTTACTGATACCAAAAGTCTTAAACTGATTCATTTGATTGTTGGTTTTAGGATGCCTGCTGAGCTGAAGATGGTGAGTTGGTTAGAAGTAACTGGTTCTTTCGAGAAGATTGAATCCGGGAAAACATACCGAATCGGTTTTAAAATTTCGTTTAAACCAGATGCGGCCGGTTGGGATGAAGCCCCAGTTTTCATGTCTGCTAAAATCGGAAAGAAAGGCAAGACGGTGTGGAAAAGAATCAAATCTGTGAACCAGAACTTTGGTAAACTGAAAGGTGGATCAGAACCCGTCAATATACCTGACGAGTCCGATGGCCGGTTCGAAATCTCGGTTAGTCCCACAGCGCTTAACCAAGATACTATGCTTCAGTTTGGTCTGTATGAAGTGTGGACTGGACGATGGAAGACCGGTTTGTTGATCCATGAAGCCTTTGTTCATGAAGTACAGTATAAGAGAATATGATCATTGTCGATTTTCATAATCGGAACACAAAACTTATACCTCAAATTTGGTCGATTTAGTTCTAAATAAACAAGCTGTAGATCATAATAATGTAATCTTATACCTCTTTGAACAAGTCTTAAAGTTCTGTGTGATAATCTTCCGGTTTAAACCACAGCGAGAAATCAATTCCGTTCGACTTCAAATTCTCAGTTGCAGGTGCAATTCTCTCCAGAAGCTACACCGATTAGACAAGAAATATGTTAGACCTGATCTCTAAGCATAACATATTAAAAGCATTAAACAAAAACATTAACAGTTCATGAAACCTTGGAGTGAAGAACGCCATTGGACACCAAAACAGACCTATCAAACACAGAAAACTTCCCTCCGTCCATCCGAGTCACAGCTCCTCCAGCTTCCTCAACAATCTGTGTCCAAATTCAGACATGGATTAAGCTCTACAACATAAGTAGTTTAGAAAGAAAAGAAAAACAAGAAGGATGAAGAAGATTACAAGAACACCAGCAGCCATGTCCCATGGCTTTAAACGGTACTCCCAATATGATTCCGCAATCCCAAGTGCCACATGACACATGTCAACTGCTGCAGCACCGAGTCTTCGCACTCCCCGACTCACATCAGTAAACTCTTTGAACAGTTCCATGTTAGTACTCCATGCATCATCATGTTCATAACCAAACCCTGTGATAAGAAGTGCTCTCTCCACCTACATTAAAACCCAAATAGATATGTAATAAAACCAAAACCATTGCACACACCATGTCGAAACTAAATTCCGGATAAGTTACTTACAGCATCGGTTTTACTGACATGAATTTTTTGCCCGTTACACAACGCTCCACCACCTGAGAAATGAACTAGTTAGAAAAGTCTTAAATACAGAACCGAACTAGACAAACATTAGCTTCTCACATTGTACCTGCAGTTGCAGAAAAGGTTCGAGTGTTCCAACACATCGGACCACCGACAAACTCAACCTGCATGACGAAATTTTGGTTTTTTAACTTATCTATTGATCAAAGAATCACTAGAGAGGAACTGTACTCAGTCAAATATATATTGGATTTACCACAGAAGCAGCGGCGGGATTTCCACGATACAGAACACCGACAGAAACAGCAAAACTGGGATATCCATGAGCAAAATTTGTTGTTCCATCTATGCATAAAAGGAATTAAGAGACTATTACTAAAAATCTCAGAGATTCCACAAAACAAAACACATGAAAGAAAAAGAAAAAAAAAAGCAATGAGATTTGTAAAGAGAGCAAAACCTAGAGGATCAATGCACCAGAGGTAATCAGAAGACGAATCGCCGATAATACCTCCTTCTTCACCAAGAATAAGATGATCACTAAAATTCTTCTTCACTACTTCCAAAATAGCAGCCTCACTTGCTTTATCAGTACTGAAAAATTCACCAAACACTAACACTTCAATACTTCAAGCAATAAAGTCAACATGAAAATAGATAAAACCTCAATCTACACAAGCTAACAACTTTTAAAAGCTGAAGAAGTCCTTACTCAGTTACTAAGTCACTGAGACCTTTATAAGTGATATTCCTTGGCTTATTTACAGCTTCCATAACCACCTGACAAACCAGATGATTCAATTCAAGTTAGGTTTTTTATTCTTCTCCTTTACTCTATGAACCCAAGAACTTGATTCTAGTACTAACACAATTTCGACTCTCAGCAAGAGTTTTTGTTCAAATTCAGATTTTGTATTGTAAAGAGATGAAATTTCGAACCTCAGCGCCGGTTTTAGCGGCGAGTTCAACGACTTCAAGGAGATGTGCCGGCGATATAGTTCCGGTGGATTTAGCGCCGATTCTAGGATAATGCGTCTGATCAGAAATCTCAGACACAACAGCTTTTGTTTGAAGTCTTGAAGTAGACTTGAAGCTGTTAGACAAAATCCTCGAACACCCATGTCGGAAATTTCTGTTTGATGTCCGGCATGAAAATGGGTTTTGCAGCGGAAGAGATGATCTGGGTAAGTGAGAGATTCTCATTGACATGCTTCCCATTGTTGGTGTCGCCGGAGAATTTTCTCAGTTGCCCAAAATCAAATTCTTTTTTTTTTGGTTGTAAATTTTGGTTTTTGGTTTATATCAACGTGAATGGATGGACATGAGAGAGTCCAAAAAGCTGATAGACTCGATATCTTCAACTACAAAACTCAATATCTTCTTCAATCAATATTTTTTAAACGAAATAAGTTTCAAGAGAGACAAGAAACTATGTTTTTTAGCCGCTAGAGTATTACATTTTTTCTACTGAAAAACCAAACTTATAAAACTTAACATTAATGAAACCGAAAAAAACTATCAATCGTCAGGTTAGCCTTTGGATTCAAGACGACGTATCAGATTTGTGTTCAGCGTCTGCGGCAGACTGCATTTGAGCTGCATATTGTAAGTTCCAGAGAACATCTTCGAAGGAATGTCTTGCAGAAGGTTCAAGCAAAACACATTTATTGGCGATTGAGATGGCAATCGATAAAGACTCCTGCGAGTTTGTTGTTAGGACCGTTGGACTTACTATTTTCTGCCGACCGTCTTGGCTCCCAAATGCAGCAACAGCTATTAACCAACATGATTTTCCTGCAAAATTCCAAAGTTTGAATTAGATTCTCCTAAACGCTATGAAATTTTGAAATAGAAGGACAAAAGATGCATACTTTGACTTGTGGGTTTCTGACTTGCTGCAAAATGTAGAAGCAGAAGCAAAGTAGAGTCCTGAGTTAGTATCAAAGAAGAGCATACAAAATGAAGATAAACAGAGTGAAAAAGAGAAAATAGGGCAAACCTCGAGCTTTTCGTTCTCTTCAATGATATTGATGGCAGAGACTCCATAATCACTGAGCTTTGCACTCTTGTGTTCGTCAAGCAAAATGTTGTTCGTCTTCAGATGATTTTTGAATGAACCAGGCATTACACCGGTGTGAAGAAAATGAACTGCCTTTGCTATCTCAATCAGAATTGCTAGCCGATTTGGCCACGTCAGGACCTTCTCCGAGAAAGATTCTACAAATAAACAATATTCTAACAACATTAATTTTCCAAGTACAGAGAGATTCAGTATAACATTTAATTTACTACACATGCCAATCTGACCTGACAGATGTGTGCGATAGCTCCCGTTGAGCATATACTCGTATACAAGGTAGAGTATGGTTGCAACAGGATCGTGTTCTCCGCTAGTTTGAGAGCAATGGCCCAAGGAGATGAGGATGGTTGAGCTTTGACATCCAATTTACGTGACCTCTGATACTCTGGCTGGAGAATTTCCTTGATAAAACAAGACATTTGATAGCTATGGAACTTCCATTTTCCAGTGTTCCTCTGTATAGCTGCAAAGAATCAAAACACGTAGAGTAAAGCAAATGACTGATGGGCAGATCACAAGAACTAATCTTGAGTAAGACAAACCGTACCTTTCCAAGGGAGCCTTCACCTAAGAAACGTGATGAATCGAAATCGTCTGTGGCTTCCTTTAATTCTTCAAAAGAAAATGACCGGCATGAGGGCACACCTTGTGCACCTAGCTTTGCTGCTTGAGAGATAAACCCTGCAAGACGAAATCGTACAAGGATATTAAATTACTGAAAGACAATTGCCCGCAGGCAGAAGTCTACAATTTGAGTCAAAGTTACTCACTTGCACTAGCAAGAACTTCGGAGGAGAGATTGGTGTGTGAGTTATCTGTCACAACCTTAAGCCGAGTTTGCGGCACTGACTTTTCTCTTGAACAACAGCAAGCGCAGGGGTTTGTGCATAGCAGGAAGAGTCCTAATACAAAAAAACACAAGAACAAGAACAGCTCCACCAACTACAGCAACCAAAATCCCAATCTTTCTTCCTTGGAACTGTTTTCCCTCAGTTTCAGCCTCTTCGCATAAGAATTCTTGATGCTGATCATGACTGCCAATTATGGACAAGCAGTTTCCACCGAGTTTAACAACTCCCTCACCGGAAGCTCCTGCCAAGCAATGGGGAGGGGTCCCAATTAATCCAAGTTTGCCTCCACAGGTCAGATTAAGCGGTAGCTACCCACTGAGCTTGTTAGATGCCAAGTGTAAGTAACTAATGTTTGGCAAAGAGAACAAGAACCGAGATGGAGTTCCAGTCAGATGATTGAACGACAAGTCACTATGCTGAAGCTGAGACAAACCACCAAAACGTCTGGGAAAATGTGTTGCAGTAGTAACCAATAGACCTGAGGTTGTTGATTGATCACACTCGAAACCTGATTGATTCTAACATCTTACACAAACAGAAACAGCCTCATTTCTGAATCCAAGAACAGCTGACAAAACTTGAAAGTAACTAACAAAAGGAAATGATTCCACCACAATGGCTCCTGCTTCAGTTCAGAGCAGCTTATAGAAAGTCACTAAACCCTAATTTACCAATTACGTAGCTCACAAGATCCAAAAAGCTTTCGACGACAACAACAAAACAACTATAATGGCTCTTCTTATCTAACGCTGCTCAAATTCTCTCTGATGACGAGAGAGACAGAGAGAAAGTGAAAGCTGAGCGTCCTCGCACTGTTTACGCTTAAGGCTTGTTCCGCCGCTAGAGCAAAGAGATCTCACCGCCTCTGATTCCTCCGGACAAGCCTCAGCCACCACGCACTCCGCAAACGCCTTGTTCAAATGTCTGCAACCGGATCTCCTTGCCGGTCCCTCCGGCATCCGACGGTGGCACTGCAATAACGCTTCCTCCAACCGATCGCAAGATCTCATCGGAATCTCTGATTTCTCCGGTGATCTCTCTCACATGTCTTCTTTGATGATCCGCTGATTATCATCATTAGTTAGATTTGGGCTTTTGAGTTTTGAGCCCATATTCTCTTTGGGTAATTAAGTGAAGCCCACTTATCTTACACACACCAAACGACTTTTTTTTTTTTTTTTTTTTTTGTTGCCATTTGGAAGATCTGAAATCAACCAAATAGGTTGGTTTAGTGGATTTTGAGAGTTTTCAAAGTCACCAACACAAATTCTATTTAATATATCACTCTTTTTACTATTATCATATTCTTAATTCGTATTTTTAAAGTCAATCACATGTGGTGGTTATATGACTTAATCAGAAAAGGTTTGTGACTTTTTAGTCTTTGTCAAGGTTCCTCAATAGAAGTGGTTATGGATGTGACTACTTGCCATTGGCTTAGTATACTCACATCGTTTTGCAAGTCATTTTTCGTAAATTGCTAGTTGTCATGTTTGTTTGGAACATGTTAGATATCAACTCTCATACATATGTAACTAACTATACAATATTATAATGAAAAATTATAGATTAAAGATTCTCTAGCTCGTATCAAACTTTAGAAAGCTTAATACGTACAAGTATCCTCTTGTTGAATGTCGTTCGAGCTTTTGTTGAATATTGGCTCGGGACACTTTTTTTTTCCTTTTTTAATAATAACTTTATTCATCTTTCTCTTCTAAAAAGAGATCATTTGAAAAACAGTACACAGTTTAAAGATGAAGTAAAGAGAAAAAAAAAAGAGAAACAAGACCACATGTGACGAAGTTGAACACAAGAAGTTGAATTGAAGACAAAGCAGGTTAAGGTTGAATAAACCGAAAACAGGTTGAAAAGTAAGGTTCTTGAGATTGTCGAGTTGGTGTAACATTTTCATTTTTCTCTTTAAAGGTGGGAAGGTAAGGTAAGGTTGAAGACAAAGCTCGGGACATTTTCTCTGTCAAAACATAGGTTAAAACAAATTTTATTTTTTCTACATAGTATAGAAATTACGGATCCTATAATTAATTAGTATGAATTGTGATCAATCATCTCTAAAACCCTAGTTGTTACAGATTTTAAAAATCTTAATTTGGTTTACATCTTTAATCTCAAACCCATTGTATTGACCAATGTTCTTAAACTATATTATATATGGAACTAGACAACTAGTAATTGTTATTTGTACAAACCCCTAATCGTTGCAAATGATCAAAAGGCATTAGAAACCAGCTATGAAATAAAATTACATCTCTTTTATGTAGGAAAAATAAATTTTCATCTTTAAAATGAAAGTATGAGGAAGAATAATCTCCACGATCTTTGTACAATCTATCAAGTGTCCTTCAAATTAAAAATCTTCAATAAATTGGAGTTGCTGATCAACGCAGATGATTGCTCGAGTAATTACCCGATACACTTAACCGCAAGGTAATATATACGGGGTCGATCCACAAGAACCAACGGTACACTAAAGACTTCCGAGACTCGTTCTTAGCTAAAGCGAAGAGTTGTTTTGTTTGGGTTTTCAAATATTAAAATAAAAATGCAAATAAATTAAACGATATTTAACTTTAAGATTCACTACAAAAAAAGTGAGTATTCATAGCACATTACAATAGCATTATTTCTGTAATTGCTATTAAAGAAGATACGCCGGATTATAGTAGTCTACTATAGCATTTTAAAAATGCTAAGCCGAAATTTCACTAATCTAGAACAGTCCGAGCGTAATATATAACATAGAAGCCAGCACTCACTAAAATAAAAAAACACAATTATCTTTAAGTTGTTTGGTGAAAAAAAAAAGCTCTAAAAAAAAAAAGGGGGAAATCTCTCTCGAGGAAAACCCTCTTTCTCCTCCTTCTATCCTTGCCGCCTCTGATCTCCTCCTCCACTGTCTCTGTTGCTATGGTTCAACTGTCTCTCCTAAGCCTCCTCCTCCACCTCCCGTTCCCCCGACCCAGACAAAACATTCAAGACTTTGGTCAAGATTCTACAGACAAAACAGGACCAGCTCGACTCACTTCTCAAGGATAGGAAGATGATTGAAAGTTCAATCAAGACTAAGCACGAAAATTGGCTCACGGATGTTCGAAATTACGAGGATCGACTCTCTCTGGTAAAAACCCCTTTTTAGATTCCTTGTTTCGGATAAAGTTAGGGTTTTTAGGGTTTCGCTCTCTTCTTAAGAATTTTGAAGTGTAATGTCTTTAATTCGCTGATTTTTTATTCAGATGATGAAAGAAATTGAAACGACAAAGATGATGCAGTTGCTTGAGACCTCTAAATGCAATCTCTTGTGTGGATTAAAGGAAAGCGATCGTTCTCTCTCCAATTTGAAATTAGGTGAGTGACTATTTGGGGAAAAATGATTTAAGTTTGCTCCTTTGGTTTCCTACGAGGCTACGACTAATAAAGTTCCATTCTTTGTTTCGTAAGTTACGAATCGTAACCAATGTGTAAATTGCATAACAGACCATGTACGAGTTAACTGACTTTAAAGCTTGGTTTGATTTCCTCAATTTGAATACAAATGTAAGTGAAAGATTCAATTTTGTAAGCTCTTGTGGGTTTTTTTTTTTTGTTTGGGGAATCTTTTCTCTTTTTATGAGTACAACCAACGTTTTATACAAACGTTAAACTTATCCTCATTCCTGTTTGCAGGTTGATGGTAAGTTAGAATCTGCAAATTCAATAGAGAAGGTTGAAAGACAAGCTACGGTAGAGAGTTTAGAGCTAGAACCTCTCTGTGATGAGGTCGTTGTCTTCTTCTATATATTTCTTTTGATATACTTTTTTTTTTTTGTCTACTGCTTTCTTGAGAAAATGACTGAACCATGTGAATTCTTAATTCCTTTGTAGTTATATGAGTTTGGTAAATTTTATTGTGTTCTTGGTTATATTTCAGATTCAAGAGTATTTTGCTCAACACGATTTCAGGGAAAACACTTGAGAGAAATCAGGGTTTGCATAAAAGAATTGGTGATGAGGTACCTTAGAGTATGCTTCTGTATTGGTTTCTTTTTCAAGATTTTTTATGTCTTCTGATTCTCAAGTACATGTTACTTCGCACTCGCTGTTCTGTCTTGATTTCAGTTTAGAAATCCTGATTTATTGAGTTACATTCTTGTCTTAAGGAACATGCTTGAGTGTGATCCTGTGTCTTTGTCTCTAACTCTGTTTTGTTGACCCGTTGTTTAATTTTTTCTTACCTTTAATGGCTCTCAGTATCTACTTGTATTTTCAACTATCAACAATTAAAATTTTGGTTCATATATATTGTTTTTTTTTTGTTCTCCCAGGAGATTGAATGGTGGAGGTGTTCAAAGTGGAGCAGCACAACTAGCGTAAAGAGGTTTTGTGCTGAGGATATATGGAGAGGCTCTTGTTGTTAACGGCTACATATAGATTAATAAGAAGCCGTAATAAATAGGTTTTGAACTATGGTCTTTGATTTTAATTGTATATCCTATCCTTTGAAAAATTGCAGTACTTATGATGTTATTTGTAAAATTACAATTATGTATCTTTTGATGATCTATTGAAAGAAACATGCTTTTAACAAATTGGTTATGTAGCATATAATTAATTGGATTTCCAATATATTTATTTGGAATAATATAGCAATTCATCGTTTCATAATGTAGCACATAAAAATGCTATGAAACAACTAAATAATGGCATTAAATTATTGTTATGAAAAAGTAATAATAACACTAACAAAGTGCTATTGTATATGAACATACTATAGCAGACAAAATTAATGCTATCGTAGGTGGGGCATCTACCATAGCTGCCGAGATCATAGCAGTTGTTATTTCGCTATGTATTACCTATGATAGCATATTTTCCGCGCTAAGAATGTAAGTTTTTCTTGTAGTGATTTAAAGACATTGGGTCATAGGGTATTTCAGAGATCAATGAACAATAGATACATGAGACATGGAATTCAACAATTAAGTATCGTTCTTGAACATGAACACAACTAGACTAATTCTCTTTCAAGACATTAATCACTAAATTTGACTACTCGATTACTAAACTTTCGCATGTAATTTCCTAATCAAATTCGCATTACCAAACAAGTTCATTAAGTTCACAATGCGTCCTAACGTCAACTTTCATTGGCTAAGCATACATTGCTCAATTCACATTCTTTCAGGCATTCTATCGAACACTTTTGATGCATAGAAAAACCTAGAATCTACAACATGGTGATCAATCCTATTCTAGCATTAAGAACATGTGAATCAAAGAACCTAGAGAATGAGAATTCCTAATAACAATCAATCCATTAATCCATTGAATCTCCTAATTAGAACCCTAAAACCCAATTGAAAACTACTCACACATAGAAAAAGAGATAACAAAAATCAATGAACAAAACATGATGAAATTGTGGAAATAACAAGATAGGGTTTAGAAATCTTCTCCAAGTGTCAAGAGGATGGATTCCTTTGCCCAAAGTTGTTTACAAAACAAAGAACCAAGTTTAGAACTAAAAAATATGAAAGATAATGTCTCAAAAGTCGAGCATAGGGTTTAAAAACAATAGGAGACGAGCCGGGTCGGATCTGGAGTGACTCGGGTCAAATCTGGGCCAAAACTACGTCTGGGGAAGGGATCGATCGATCCAAAGGAGGATTGATCGATCCAGCAGTGTCTGGAACGTTTTTCATCCGTCAGGGAAGTGGATCGATCGATCCACAAAGGGATCGATCGATCTGGAGCTTCTGGTCTTCAGCTCTGCAACTGCTTCAAATGTTCGCCAGAATGACCTGTCATCACTAATTCGGGTATAACTATTGAATGCACCTTCAAATCACTTGGAAACTCAAGCTAACATCTTCATATAGCTTGTGTCAAATTTTCAGAAAGATCTAACGGTGGTAAGTCTTCCATATGAGGCCAAACGTTTGACACTTCTAACCGAAACTTCATCTCTAAATGTGTGTTTATATCCCAAAACATCTCGTTTTCATCCGAAGCAACCTCAAACCTGTAAAGACTCGATAAAGGACTAAAAGACTCTAAAAACAAACTTTGACTCTATAAAAT